TTCACACTCACACATGAGTTTCCTTATTCTGTCAAACACAAAGGAAGATATTTTGAAGAATGATGGAAAAAGCAGCTGTTGATCTCCATAGTCGGAACAAAATAATACTATTGAAGTCAATGGCTGCTTTTCTTCTTCAGTATATCTTTGTTTAAACAGAAGAAAGAAATGCAATAAAAAAGGTGAGTTAATAGTGACAGAATATAAATTTTTGGGTGAACTATTGCTTTAAATCATGGGTCTCAAACTCAGTTCCCGGAGGGCCACAGCTCTGCACAGTTTTGCTCCAACCCTGATCAAACAAAGCTGATCTAGTAGTGTCTAGTACAGGGGTCACCAACCCTGTTCCTGGAGAGCTACCTTCCAGCAGAATTCAGTCCCAACCCTGATCAAACACACCTCAACCAATTAATAGTACCTAAAGCAGCACTTGATAATTACAAACAGGTGTGTTTGGTCAGGGTTGCAACTGAAATCTGCAGGAAGGTAGCTTTCCAGGAATAGGGTTGGTGACCCTTGGCCTAGTAGTCTTGAAGTGGGTTTGATTATTGTTGGAGCAAAACTGTGCAGAGCTGTGGCCCTCCAGGAATTGAGTTTAAGACCCATGCTTTAAATGAACACTTTATAATGTACACTTGTGATGTGTCATTCCAAAAGTCCAATTATATATATATATATATATATATATATATATATATATATATATATATATATATATATATATATATATATATATTAGAAACAACAGATGTATTGAACACATCCAAGCCCAAGTGTTTTCGTATCATTTTCATTAGTTTACCGCATTCAAATATGGTTGAAGAAATGAATCATTTCACTTCAGGTTGATTAACTGAAGGGTTTTATACTGATGCTCACTGTAAAGAAACAAACTTTAATAAACAGTTTCTGTATTTTGTGATTCACTGCTTTATTGTCATACTGTTTATTTACACTTGTGAATTGCATTATGGGACCTTTATTCCTGCGGTGTTGATATATGATATTGAAAATTTAGCACTCTTTAAAGTGACTTTTAATGACAATTTAGCAGTTTGAAACATGTTTTTGCATAAGGAATTCTATATATAGAGATTAGTCTGTATAATAACAGAAACATTAGCAGGTTTTTGCACCATACACTGATACAGACCAGTGCACAGCTGTCCAACTCAATTCCTGAAGGGCCGCAGCTCTGCGCAGTTTAGTTCCAACCCTAATTAAAGACACTTGATCAAACTATTTGAGTCCTTCAGATTAGTTTGAAACCTACATGTAAGCATGTTGGAGCAGGGTTAAAACTAAACCCCCGGGAACTAAGTTTTGACACCTCTTGACTAGTGTCAGGATACTAAAAATTCGGTACCAATCTATACTGAAATATTAAAAATGTCAATTTCCTGCTAACATTTGAGCGCTGTTGTGTGCGTTCTTAAACAGCACTGATTTGCCATTGTGTTCACATGCTCAACAGAAATGACTGTGATTGGCCGTGAAGGTCATCAGTTCACCAAACTCACCTCTGTTTACTCAGTGTAACCACAGATACAGGGACACTGGAGTGTTTTAAAGCAGTGAAGATCGGTCCATCAGCTTATCTTCACAGCCAATCACAGTCATTTCTGTTGAGCATGTGAACTTAATAACAAATCAGCGCTGTTTAAGAACGCACTTAAATGTTAGAAGGAAATAGACAAAATTTCAGTAGAGATTGGTACCAAATTTCAGTATTGTGACAACCCAAATAAAGACTATATAAAATCTTAATAAAAGTCACTATTTCAAACTGTTCAACATCATAAATCTTTGCAGGAAAGATCAATAATAAAGCAATTCAAAAGCATAAATAAGCAGGACTCACAAAATACGGTCAACTCTTCATTTACGGCTATTTTTCACAGAGTTGTTCTTCTACCGCAAACACTGCGATCCCAGTATAAATGAGGAACTGTCATGAAATCCATTCAGTACAGTGCTAGCGAAGCTAGAAAACCTAAGAGCGATGGACATTTCGTTTAAAATACAGAAAATATCTGACACCTTGTAAAAAACACACTTATTTACAGACAGTCTGTCTCTGGGAGTCCTTCGAGTGAGTGGTCAGGAAATTTCGACCGATGCGCTCCTGATGTCAACAGGTCCGTTTGCGCAGCTATTTTTTTAGGAAACAAGAGCCGAGTTTAATGGGATTGTTGTTTCCGTCTTCAACAGTACGTAACAAAGCGAATCCCAGTGCATAGTGCTATACTGTATACGAGAGCTCCAATGTTAGTCTGGCATGTCGATGCACAGTTTGGGTGGGGGCACAAAGTATTTCCCAGGGCTTTGGGTGATCACCACCCCCGTCTTCTTACGAAACATGGTTGGGATTTTGGGCACCTCGTGAATGGGCAACTCCTCGGACATGTCTGAGTCCTCGTGATGCAGGTCATAGGAGATGTTGCCATATTCCCTGAGGAACGGGAAGAGCTCCAGTAGGAACTGGCAGAAGTCTTTACGGATGCCAAACCACCCTGAGAGAGAGGAAGAAGAAGTGTTAATCATGGGAACTGCACTGAGAACTCTTCTTTGTATGCATGGTCACTTCCTTTAAAGGGCCTTTATGTAAATATACAGTTGATGTCTGAATTATTAGCTCTGCTCTATATTTTTCTGTTTAACAGAAAGAAGATTGTTTTTCCTACACATTTCTAAACGTAATAGTTTAAATAACTGATCTATTTTGTCTTTGTCATGATGACTACATAATATTATACTAAATATATAATATTCAGCTTAAAGTGCAATTTAAAGAAACAACCACCCTCAATCAAAGTTTGGTTACATGACATCTTAAGTCTTTTAAAATTGGAGAAGATTAAGTTCTCTCTCAGAGGCTCGCCTTACAAGTTTTATACTCATTGGAGGCCACTACTAAATTATTTTGATGATTTAACACCTCTGAAGGCGATTATTTAAGAAATCATTTTATGGTCGGATTTACTATTATTATTTTTTTAGTCTAGCATTTTTTCTCCGGAACTGTCATGCCCTAAACTAGACGCATTGGTTTAACCTCAGCACAACTAAAACCATAAAAACCAAGAAGTAGGTAGCACATCATTATTGTTGATGTAACTAGCTAATGTATTTATTTTGTTTTATTTATTTATTTATTTATTTATTTATTTATTTATGTGAAAGCATTTATGTATTTATCTCAAATTGTACTATTATCATTATTTTTGTTTTATTAATATTTTATTTTTATTTCATTTTTTATTGCTCCGTCTTTTGTTATATGTTTTACAAGAAAAGTGGCTATGTGTTTGTATGGGTGGGGGGTTTTAGGGTTAAATGTTTACAAAAGTGTTCAAAAAAGAAAAAAGCAGAAATTGGACATTTGCACACAACGAATGCTTTCCACTTGTGTTCAATAAATAAAGTTTATTAAAAAAAAAAAAAGTGCAATTTAAAGGCTTAACTAGGTTAATTAGGCATCTTTAAATGGACGGATGGATCGATGAATGGGCTTCCCACAGGTTTGAATAGCCGAATAAAAATACATCTTAGGGTGCTTTCACATCTGTAGTTCGCTTCATTTGGTCCGAACCAAGGGTAATAAATGATACATTGTTGCATCTTCTGCCGTCTTTGGGTCGTTTTCACACCACACTGCTGGCTTTGGTCCGAACCAGTTGAATCGAACCAAAATGCAGTCACCTGACAAAATCCACATCCCTCATTGGCCAGATGTTGTTGAACAGTTCCTAAACTGCTTATCGATTGGTCAGAATTCACGTGCGGGAAAATGTCAATGAACTACCGCAGGTAAACAAAACCGGCAGACACAAAATGCCGCTTTTACTCTGGTAATTGTATCCCTGCTTTAGACAAACTATACATTACAAAAATGAAGCGCGGCCGCGGCTGCAAAACAGTGTTTAATGCAACGCTCGTCACTTCTGGAGGAGGCGTGAATTAATTTAGCTAAACTGCGACATGCTCATCTTGCGGAAATATCACCAACGATCCATCAGGTAATGTTTCCCCCTCTCTCTCTCTGTTGGCAAAGCGCTGTCAACAAATATTTTTCCTCCATATCCCATAATGCACAGCGCATCGGCCTACGGCAGCTGAATTAGTCCAAAAGGCGCAGTACTTTTTGCGGTTGGACCTGTTTTAGTACGGATCATATTGTCACCACAAACGAACCGCTGCAGGGTTCGTTTGAAAGCGTACCGAGACCACCTCTTCAAGCAGGTCTATAAATGCTTGAAGTCACACACATTCTTTTAAAGAATAAGCAGTGGAAGTAATAAGTTAGAAACGTTACGTACAGTGATTGCCTCCTTTCTGGCCAAATGTGGTCACCATTAGAGTCACTAAAGAAACCCAGAGAGGAACAAACACCGGGACGTAGTTGGGGCTATAATGATTATCCAGCTTGTGGACGAGGAGAATCTGAAAGCAACACAAACACTGATGATGAGTCTCCACACATTCTCACAATCATGCAACCATTTAAACCTGTTTACCAGTCATCCTGCTGAGATTCTGCCATACGTGTAAGCATTTTAAAATCACTAATTATATAGATCATTTATCCAGATTAATTAAAATATGTTGCTTTTTAGTATTATTGTCTATTTTGGATCACCAACAGAAATGATTGCAAATAACAATTCCATCACATCAAATAATTCAAATGCATCAAATGCCAAAATAGCCATCATTTACACTGATAATAATATGAAATGTTTATTGAACTGCAATGTCAGACTGACTTTTGAGAGAATGTTAATGCTGGAATAATTAGAATCCTTAAATATAATTAAACCGTAGCATCATTAAAAACGATAATATGACAACATTACTGATTTTATATGTATAGTGCAATTTAAAAGTATGCAAATATACAGTGCTAAACATATATGAGTACAACCCTTACAAATCTCTCATTTAAAGAGTCATGACACCCCCCACTTTCGGTTTAAGTCTACCTCAGAATTTTTTCACAAGATGCATGATAATGGGCGTGGAGCTCTGCGAGCAAAGGGCAGGAGTGGGCGTGGCCAGCAGGGGAGAAGGAGGGGAGCAAACAACCGTTGTCAGTCGGCTCACAAAATGAGACACAAACTGTGAGGAGACGCATGATTTTATAGTTTACAAAGTTAAAATGCAAAGAAATAAACAGTAATTTAATGCCCTGCTGCATTTGTTATTTGTCATTTCATACAGACAACCACAATTTATATCATTATAAAGATAATTGTGTTCATATAAACACTAAATGAGGACTTTTCCCTCAATCCCCGAGTCTGAATGCAAGCTCAGTGCAGCAGGTCACTTGCCCTGTCTATTTTAACAATTTGCCCTGCTGATAATCTGAAGGATTTTGGCGACCACATCAGCACGACGATGTGTCTAAATGTGAACGAACTCCACTGATAAAGGACAAAAAGTCCTCCATTCTCCAATTCTCGTTTGCGCCCTGCGCTTTGCACTTTGTGCATGGACCGTCATAATAGAGCCCCATGTTTTTGGCCAGACAACTAACCTTTAATAAAGTTTACAGATATTTGTTGAACTAATTTCCATGACCTTTCCAAAACTTTGTGGGGCTTTTTGTTTTTCCAAAACTTTTTCAGGCCTGGAAAATGCCCTGTCAAAATTCCATGATCTTTTCAGGTTTTCCATGGCGTAACGAACCCTGCTCTTATTGTCTTTGACCCATTTATATTACAGGGCTCGAAATTAACATTTTTGCTTGGTAGCACCGGTGCTCCGAACTTAAAAAATTTAGGCGCATCAGCCAACATTTAGTCGCACCCACCGATTACAAGCACCGTTACTACAAGTTTTATTCAAACATAGTTATTGCATTTGAAATCAACACTAATCAAATTAACAAGCAAAATTTATATATGCAAGCGTGAGGAAAATATGTCTCAACGAAATCCCGTTATCACAAGAAAATACATTTTTATAACAGAACTGAGTGACCAAAAGGTACACTGACCGCTGTTCGGCCCTGCACGCACTGCGTCATGAATGAATCTGTTAACGATATAACTGTGCTGTTCTCACGGGTGCTGTCTAATATTGCACTGATGCTTTTGACACATACTGTACCTTATTATATGCATACGTCATGTTAATAGCAATACCGGTCTTCATGAGTAGTGATATTAGTTTACTCAGGGCAAGCCCGTTTGCGATGGTGTACGTGGTGTTACATTTGACATATAGCTGCCACTTGCACGGCGGACAGCATCTGGCGATTATATGAAGGATTAAACAGAAGCTCTCGTGCTAGATGTGGCAAACAGTTTCCTGAAAACTCCATCCCACAGACTTTTCATAGCGTACTTGAAGCCATTGGAAGTCTTTTACCCACTCTTGGAAAAGTGTAGATGGTTGATTAACATTCAGCACATGATCACTACAGATGTGTCATTATTTGTAACTGTAGATGCCATGGTTTCTAAAACTAAATCTGTCAATGTTATCTTCATTCTCATTTTCAGCGCTTTACAATTTTTTAGCGGTAGTAGCTCTCTCTGTCATCCCAAGCCAGAAGGCACTGACTGAGTGATTGACAGCTGATATTTCAGTGCTAGAGCAGTGGTGGGCCAATAAGAAGAGCGCGAAGGCGGGGCAAGCATTACGGACTTGGCTTTGTTTACTGCAGCAAGTTGACATGACAACTGTTTTAAACCATTCCTGAGCGCTGCGTTTCCCATTTCAAGTGCAGAGATGCATTCTGCATGAATATTTCCCGAATCCGCAGTAAAAACTGGTCGCACACAACAATTTTTTGCACTCGCACAAATGCTCCCAAATATATTTTGAGGTTGCATAGATAAAACTTGGTCGCAATTTCCATTAAAAAATGGTCGCAATTTCGAGCCCTGTATTATCATATTTTAAATAAAGTTATTAGTAACTAGTATAGTTATGGCAACCCATAACCTTAACTGGTCTGATTTTGATTGTAATGCAGTAATGTGCAGCTTTTGTAAAGCAGCTTTAAAACAATAATAAATGTGAAAAGTGATATACAAATCAACTAGAATTGAATTTTATAAAAAACAATCTGAAAGGGACGAAGCGGAAAAGAAAATGAATGTCAAAATGGTGTCAAAATCAAACCTCAAAAGTGAGCAGGGGCACGACTATAGTCATCCAGCTGATGGCCATGGTGATGTGTGTGCGCCGCTGCTCCGCGATCACATCCATGGAGCGCAGAAACAGCACAGACCACACGATATAATAGAGGACCACCAGACACAAGAAGGACATGAGGATCCAGAGCGGCACACACACCACCTGGAGAAGAACACACATGTACACACTGAAATATACACTCACACACACATACATACACAGACACAAGTATACACACACAGGCACGCACACATATGCACAAACGCACACACATACATACGCATGCACGCATACATACACACACATATGCAAGCATGCATACACACATGCATGGACATACAAACGCACGCACGCATACACACACGTGCATGCACATATGCGCGTAAGCATAGGTGCACACATACGTACACACATGCACATACGCATACATGCATATAAACGCACATAAGCGCACACACACATGCATATATACATATGTAGTGTGTAATATGCAGACATACGCATGCATACGCACACACACATACACACCAACACATGCATACATACGGACGCAAACACATACATACACATATAGAAATATGTAATGTGTAATATGCACATATACGAACGTACGCATATGCACATACAAACACAAACAGATGCACATATGTACGTATGCATACACGCACACGCATCAGAAGTCAGCAAGTGAAGCTGCTGCTCTTACCAGCCACGGCCAGCTGATGATCCCGTCCAGTTTCAGAGCGATGAAGATAAACTGAAGAATATTTACAGAGCACAGAATCTCCAGCTGATGGGAAAACACAACGAGAGACAGAGGAAAAGTATACGATCATGTCTAATGCACTTCTCTAAAGAGCTACAGCGAGGAATAGAACTTATAAGTATTGAGCACGTCACCATTTTTCTCAGGAAACATATTACTGAAGGTGCTGCTGACTTTAAAGGGTCACGAAACACCAAAACACATGTGTTGAGCTGTTGACAGTGGTATATGTGTCCCACACTGCTAAAAACACTATTAGGACACTTATATTTCACTAAAAAGTGTAAATTGGTTGTTTTTGCGTTATTTCAAGCAAATTCGTACTTCCGGTTTGAAACTAATTTTTGAAGCTGCATCACGGTCATGAGATAATAGCGTGTATTCCAGCGTGCAGACTGGACGTCTGTGCCAGAGTGTGTCTTATTACATCTTACAGTGTGATGCATTAATGCATGAGTAAGGCTTGGTTCAAACCAATCAGCGCGCTCTATTGTGCAACTTCATTAATATTCATTACTGTCACAGTGTTTAGTCGACAGAGACGCCACGTTGTGTTGGCAAAACAAGCGTGAAGTGTTGCTTTTATAGTTTGCTGCAGTTAAGTTTTTCATTTTCTCTCTGTGAGAGCTCAGACTCACGTGTGGATTAACAGTGTACGCGACGCTCGACAACAATAACTTACGTGTCTAAGGAGGAACATTGTTTACCTGAGAGCTGTTCTCATCTGCAAACGCTGAGATCTGGATTCGCTTGTAGTCTCCTCTTAATAAAGACGCGGCTCTAGTTGCTAATGATTGTCCTGTCTCTACAGATTTGGTAAGTGAGCGACCAGCGCTCTTTGTTTATTCAGTTTGTTCGTATCGAACTAACTATTGCACCGAGTGTAAACATGTTAGCATCACAACCAAACTTTAACCTCGTGTTGGGTTTTCACCGCATTTAGTGACCGGAATAACACACGCGGTTTTCTGACGCTACCTGCCGTGTGCATCTAAGTTTCCGGGAAATGCTGAGGTTTTTTTTCTCGCATTCGCCGTGCGGTATCAAACATTGCATGAAAAATACACGCTTAGAGCAGACCCTCGAATCAAATATCTCGTTTGTCGCGAGGGGCATGATTGAATTCCCTGAATGAAAGAGCCAAACTGCAGTTAAAGTCCAACATTTAATCATTTGGCAAATAATTCGACTACAGATGTCCATGTAGGTTAAACACCATCACTTTCTCGTGTGTGTGTGTGTGTGTGTGTGTATTTTGACTCTGAAACTCGCGCGTGACCAAATAGACACTCCCACACCATCCCACTTTACTTCCTCCGACACTCCCCCCTAAACAGAGCTGGACACGCCCACTTTTCTGACTTTTTCCAAAGTAGAGGTGTGAAAACAGCCTGCTGAAACGAGGGGGTTTCATGGCCCTTTAAATGTCCACCGGATGCTAATAACAACTAAAGAAATCCATCTATGCAAAGAAAACGAATCTAATTATTTTACTAATGTAGTTCTGTGTAATGAAATGAAATGACAAAGGGAAAAAGTATTGAACACATGAAGAAAGGGAGGCGTAGTTTGGCAGTGTAAGCCCAGACAGCTGCTGAAATCTCTCAGTAGTTCGTCACGGTTTCTTCTTATTATTATTATTATTATTATTATAATATCTTCATTGTGTTGCTTTGGAGTTTGTTGATTTTTTACTAATTGCGGTTTCTTTTCTTTGAGGCTGGCTCCGCGTTGCACCTGCAGCTAATTTGGCTTGTCGCCTTTATAAGCGGAAGCTGAGTGTGTGTCGAGGTGGCTCTTGTTTTCCAGCGCGTCTGACTGATCCTCCCGATCATATTAATTCTATTTTTGAATACTATTTAGAACAGGTTGCATGCGAATTGAGACGCGGTTACAGAGCGGTATTCTATGGCTGTGAATACCTCCAGCGAGCGGTCGTGTCTGAATCCCCACACACACGCGGCCACTGACACCGGAGAGACGAAGAAGAGCGGCATGAACACCAGGAGCCAGTAGGGGATCGAAGCCCGTTCCACGCGCTCGCAGACCAGCACCTCGAAGGTGAGCAGGAGCAGGTGGATTCCCACTGCGATCAGCATGGCCTTAAACTCCACACACGTCTCCCCTTCAGCCCTGGACACAACAGCACACTGCGTTACTTACATAGACAAACACACAACTCCTACTATGGCGCTTTTTACAAGATGTCAGATAAGTGTCTGATGTTTCACGAGAACACGAGACCGCTAAAGAACGCATATTGAGAAACAGCCAGTGTGACGTGAAGGCGAGCAATTAATAACAGAACATACATGAACACCCAAAAACGAAAATTTAATTACCATCATAACTAGTGCTGCACAATGTATATCGTCATCATGATAACAGTATCTGCAATATATGTATCGCAGACGTGTGTGATAAATTAAACATTTCACGTATTGGTTAAAAAAATATTTACATTTTTACCAATCAGATAAGGCCTTAGTATCTTTAGCTCCACCCCACCAGTAGTTACTGTTCTGCTATTGGCTGGAGCACAGAGGTAAACCCAGAGCTAAAAATAAACACTAATGGTGGGAGTTGAGATAAGACATGACAACAGTCAATCACAGCTAGAATATCCAACGCAATCTCGAGGCAATTCGTAAATTTTTGATGTAGTGGCTAATTCGTATGAATTTGTAAAATCTAATTCGTACAATTTAATACAATTTGCTCATCCCCTAATGACGTTTGGGGTTAGGGGTGGGGTTTGGTGCCACGCCTCCTTTTTAAAATCTTACATTTTTGAACGACTCAACTCGCACGAATGCGTACGAATTAGCCACTAAACTGGCAAAACGCTAAATACTTACGTTTCCTCGTGAGATCAGGCTGGAATATCTACTGAGGTTTTCACTCATTTAGGCCCCGTTTACACTAGTGCGTTTTAGTTTGAAAACGGCGTTTTAGATCAAAAACGATCCGCGTCCACACTAGCGTTTCACCTAGCGTTTCTAAACATCTTCGTCCACACTACGCCACCAAAAACGTATATCACGTGACCATTCGCGCACTCTGCGCATGCACGCTCTAGCGAATATATGCCGCTGCTGTAGTAAAAAAAGGCAGAGTTTAACTGCACAATGGCGCCTAAAACAGACAATAGTGCCAACAACGCTCCCATTTCTGTGTCGTTGTTGTTTACAGAGAAGGCTGGTCTGTTGTCTTCCGGTAGCATTAAAGCCATGTGTTATAGTCATGTGATAGGGGCTTGACGAATAACGGAAGGATACGCAATGACACAAAAGCCCCAATCAGCTAGCGAATCTCGGCAGCCCCGCCTCCATTTTCAGATGTCTCCGTTTTTCCCTCATCCACACTGAGACGGAGCAGCAGCGTTTTAGAATGAAAACAGCCTCTCCAGCGTTTCCTAAACGCTCCGTTTTCGGCGCTCGAAAACTCCGGCATAGTGTGGACGGATGGCGTAACTGTAGCAAAACGTTTGAAAACGCATTAGTGCAAACGGGGAGTGTTTTAAAGACTAAACGTTCGCACCTCAACACAGTTTTTAATCTGAATTAAATCTGAAAAACATCTTTTACCTGTTTATTTTGATTTAATTACATGAATAAATGATTTAAAAACATAGCTAATAAAAACAGCATTTTTCTAGTGAAATGTTATATCGTAAGAAACCTTGCTATCGCAATAATCGACAATAATGCATATTTTTCCAGTATCGCGCAGCTCTAATCAAACTTGAATGAATTTCTGTCTTCTGTTGAGCACATAATAAGACTTTCTGAAGAACAAATGGAATAAAGTCAGACATAGCGTGAACAACAAATATACTATTGACGTCAATGGCTGCCAGCATCACTTCAGAATAAAAGAAAAGAAACCCAAGCAGGTTTGGAACAAGCGGAGGATGAGCATTTTTTGGGGTCAACAATAATATGCATGTATGTAAAAATAATAGAAAATAAAAAAATGACTATAATTTACTCCAAGCACACGCTTTTGTGTTCATCATCAGCAGATAAAGGCAGAGTCTGACCTGTACTGCGGGTTGTGAGCCCACACTCCAGTGCCCACAGACGCCCCGATGATGACCATGAGCTTCCAGAGCCAGATGGGCGCAAACACGGCCCAGTAGCTCCACTGGATGATGCCATCCAGCCTCAGTGACAGCAGCACAGAGAAGAGCAGCAGACACGCGTAGATCAGGAACTTACTGCAGGATCACACAACACACAAAACAGTCAGAGTCTTCCTCTTTTTCTGGTTGAATGTTGAGTTACAGACCAGCGTGAAAGGTGTTTACCACTGTGATGACAGATCGAGACCCTTAGGATCTAATGTGCTCATCTGTTATAAATGCTGAGCGAAATAACACATTTAAAGATTAATTATAGCGTACAATTATTTTTTTTGCACCTTGTAATATTGAATATGATTTCATAAATAAAAACAAGTATACAATACTTTAGGTGATATTATACTTATGAGACATGCTATGAATAAAACACATTAATTAAACTATATATAATGCTATATATTTATTAAAAAATCCTGGTTGAAAAATTAAACTTTAAGTCAGAATTTGTCTGGAAAATAAATAATTTCTGGCCTCACTGTTTATGTGTATACATAAACTCACCGGCCACTTTATTAGGCACACCTTACAAGTACCGGGTTGGACCTCCTTTTGCCTTCAGAACTGCCTTAATCCTTTGTGGTATAAATTCATCAAGGTGCTGGAAATATTCCTCAGAGATTTTGCTCCATATTGACATGATAGCATCAAGCAGTTGCTGCAGATTTGTCGGCTGCACATTCATGATGTGAATCTCCCGTTCCACCACATCCCAAAGGTGCTCTATTGGATTGAGATCTGGTGACTGTGGAGGCCATTTGAGTACAATGAACTCATTTTCATATTTAGGAAACCAGTCTGAGATGATTCACACTTTATGACATGCCACGTTATCTTGCTGGAAGTAGCCAACAGAAGATGGAGACACTGTGGTCATAAAGGGATGGACATGGTCAGCAACAATACTCAGGTAGGCTGTGGTGTTGACACGATGCTCAATTGATACTAATGGGCCCAAAAAGTGCCAATAAAATCTCCCCCACATTACACCACCACCACCATCCTGAACCGTTGATACAAGGCAGGATGGACCCATGCTTTCATGTTGTTGACGCCAAATTCTGACCCGACCATCCGAATGTGGCAGCAGAAATGGAGACTCATCAGAGCAGGCAACGTTTCTCCAATCTTCTATTGTCCAGTTTTGGTGAGCCTGTGTGAGTTGTAGCCTCAGTTTCCTGTTCTCAGCTGACAGGAGCGGCACCCGGTGTGGTCTTCTGCTGCTGTAGCCCATCTGCCTCAAGGTTGGCCGTGTTGTGTGTTCAGAGATCCTCTTCTGCAGACCTCGGTTGAAACGAGTGCTTATTTGAGTTACTGTTGCCTTTCTATCAGCTGGAACCAGTCTGGCCATTCTCCTCTGACCTCTAGCATCAACAAAGCAGTTGTGCTCACAGAACTGCCGCTCACTGGATATTTTTTTTTGTTTCAGACTATTCTCTGTAAACACTTGAGATGGTTGTGCATGACAACCCCAAAAGATCAGCAGTTTCTGAAATACTTAGACCAGCCCGTCTGGCACCAACAACCATGCCACGTTCAAAGTCACTTAAATCCCCTTTCTTAGCCATTCTGATGCTCGGTTTGAACTGCAGCAGATCGTCTTGACCATGTCTACATACCTAAATGCATTGAGTTGCCGCCATGTGATTGGCTAAATTAGACATTTGAGTTTACGAGCTATTGGGCAGGTGTACCTAATAAAGTGGCCGGTGAGTGTAGATAATAGTGTTATATGTGGTAGTATGTCGTATTCTGATTTAACAAGTAACTGTTTTAGAGCATCTGTCAAACTCAATCACTTCTGTAAGATCGCGGCACAGGCCTGTCTGAGAGAAAAAACATAAACAAAACACAAACAGCCTCAATTATTACACAGATTGGCGTGTCACGCTTCCTGAGCAGCGTTAAAGCCACTGTGAGCAATAAAGTGTCAAAAGAGAATCAGTTTAGATGCTAAACTTTTCTTTTATCTGATGAACTGGCTGCTAAAGTACGCCAAGTCAAATCTTCCAGGCCTTCACGGTGAACATTAGCAGCTAGGCTAACAAAGTGAAAGGAGGCGTTTAGATAAAAACCAAAACAAAGCGCTGCGTCTCGGAGTTTACGTAACTCACGCAGATTTTCTTTTACCTGGGGTTGAAATCTTGAAAAACGCCTCGGAGATTCATGGTTTCCTCTTCAGACCATAGTTACATGAACTGAAAAGGAGAGGCTGGCTAGCTGACTGGCACTCACATCAGATCAGACAGTTGGCAAACGCCACCACAAACACTGTGACGTCACTCGCGGCCTGCCGAGCCCTGCCCACCGGGTGGCGCTGTTTACGTCACACTGCCCTGTTCCAGCCATTAGATGAAAAACTGAGGTAAAGTTGGTTTTATATTCAGACTTTCATCTAATAATATAACTTGAGAAAAGTATTATATGCAAATTCTAAATAGGGAAATCATATTAGCAGTCAATGCCTATCAAAGTACAACTTGCAGCCAGACCGAATAATCAAAGTAGCGTGGTAGACAATATACCGTGTCACAAGTTGTGCTATTATTATACTTACTCTGTATTATTAGCCCTTTAATTTCTACTTTAGTTTTTTATTGAAAGCCAAAGTCTGAATGTGCAAACCCAACTTTATCTTAATCATCATAATTAAACGGTATTTGTCTTTTTTTTTTTAATACTGCTTTAGTAACGGTAAACCTATTTTATTAAACGCCAAAGTCCAAATGTACAAAACCAACTTTAACTTAATCATTTTAATTAGGCCTTTAAAAGTTGAAAAACAAAGAAAAAAACTTTACCTCAGTTTTTCAACTTTAACTAACCAATTTAATTAAATGGTATCAGTCTTTTTTAATACTGCTTTAGTAACGATAAACCTATTTTATAGAAAGCCAAAGTCCAAATGTACGAAACCAACTTTAACTTAACCATCATAATTAAATGATATTAGTCTTTTTAAAAAAATACTTTTTAGTAACGTTAGGCCTATTTTATTGAACGGCAAAGTTCAAATGTATGAAGCCGACTTTAATTAATATAATTAAACGGTATCAGCCTTTTTAATACTGCTTTAGTAACGATAAACCTATTTTATAGAAAGCCAAATTCCAAATGTAAGAAACCAACTTTAACTTAATCATTATAATTAAATGGTATTAGTCTTTTTTAAATACTGCTTTAGCAACCTTAGGCCTATTTTATTAAATGCCAAAGTCCAAATATATGAAGCCAACTTTAACTTAATCATTCATTATAATTAAATGGTATTAGTCTTTTTAAAAATACATTAACGTTAAGCCTATTTTATTGAACGGCAAAGTCCAAATGTACGAAACCAACTTTATTTTAATCATTATAAGTAAACAGTATTAGTCTTTTTTTAAATACTTTTTAGTAACGTTAGGCCTATTTTATTGAACGCCAAAGTCCAAATGTATGAAGCCAACTTAACTTTAATCAATATTATTAAACGGTATTAGTCTTTTATAAATACTGCTTTATTAACGTTAAACCTATTTTATTGAATTCCAAAGTCCAAATGTGCGAAACCAACTTTAACTTAATCATTTTTAAATGGTATTAGTCTTTTTTAAAATACTGCTTTAGTAAGGTTAGGCCTATTTTATTGAATGCCAAAGTCCAAATGTGTGATTATAAAATCAACTTTACCTTAAAAAAAAAAAAAAGTTTCAGCGATTTTTAATCTCAGAATTTTGTAATACGAACTTGCAATTCTGACTTTATTTTGGGAATTGCAAAATTGCGAGTTTTTAAGTCAGAATTGCGACAAATAAACTCATAATTCTGAGTTATAAAGTCCGAATTCTAAGAAAAAAAGACATAATTGTCTGATATGAAGTCAAAATTCCGAAAAAAGTCGCTATTCAGAGTTATGAAGTCAGAATTACTAAATGGAGTGTACAAATACAAAAGTACAAATGTATATTCCTATGCATATTATTAGCTCTATAAATATTGAATTTTTTTTATTAATGATAAGAAACAGGATTCATTTCACAAGTATTTTATTTATTTCAAGATCACTGTAATGAAATGTTACATATGTAAACAGAAGGTTCTTAAAAATTATACCTACATTTCTATGAACGCATCCATTGTAGCAGGTATTATCTGTTTATACATGAAAGTCAATGCATTAAAAGGTTGTGCAATGAGCCATTTTACATAAACCATTGTTAAAATGTCCTCACACTTTGTTTGCTTACACAAATATGTAATGTTTATATCAATAATTTAAGCTAAATTACAATAAGGTGGCAAAGTGTGGATGGTTACACACAACACAAGGAATGTGCAGATACACAGTAAAAAAAGGCAAGAGGAAAATAGAAATGACAATTAGTTCAGCGCATGAAATGTCTATTTACATTAATATACAAAAACGCTTAATATTCAAATCACAGAGTGTACGGTTACAATATAAAGCATGTGTATGCACAATCAGTAACTGTAGGAAACATTAAAGAAACAGTACACCTAAAAAATGAACATCTCCTCAACATTTACTCACTTTCATGAACTTCTTTCTTCTGTTGAACGCACAGGCAGATATACTGAAGAGTGTTTGCAAAAATCACCTATTGACTTCAATAGTAGGAATAAAAAATACCACGGTAGTCAATGGCTGTTTTTTTCCCCAGCACTCATTCATTCATTCATTTTCTTTTCAGCTTAGTCCCTTTATTGATCTGGGGTCGCCACAGCGGAATGAACCGCCAACTTATCCAGCATATGGTTTTTACGCAGTGGATGCCATTCCAGCTGCAACCCATCACTGGGAAACATCCATACACAATACACATACACAACAAACAATTTAGCTTTCCCAATTCACCTAAACAACATGTATTTGGACTTGTGGGGGAAAACGGAGCACTCATTGGGAGAACATGCAAACTCCATACAGAAATGTCAACTGATCCAACCGGTGCTTGAACCAGCGACCTTCTTGTTGTGAGGCGACCCACTGCGCCACCATGCTGCCCCTATTCCAGCACTCTTTAGAAAATTTTCCTTTGCATTTAACAGAAAAAAAAGAAACTCAGGATGAGTAAATAATGACCGAACTTTAATTTTTGGGTGAACTATCCCTTTAACAATCAGAAAAATGACTTCTTCATAACCCTTGTGTGCTGTTGGGGTGTATTTATCCACTCTGGGGTGATTTTGAGACTTCGTTTGGCCACAACTTTCCCTGTGTTTCATTCATTTTCTTGTCGGCTTAGTCCCTTTATTAATCCAGGGTCGCCACAGGAGAATGAACCGCCAACTTATCCAGCAAGTTGCCCTTCCAGCTGCAACCCATCTCAGGGAAACATCCACATACACTCATTCACACACATACACTACGGACAATTTAGCCTACCCAATTCACCTGTACCGCATGTCTTTGCGGAGGAACCCGGAGAAAACCCACGCGAACGCAGGGAGAACATGCTAACTCCACACAGAAACGTCATCTAAGCTGAGACTCGAACCAGCGACCCAGAGGCGACAGCACTACCTACTGCGCCACTGCTTCGCCCTTTCCTGTGTTTCAGAAATTGAAATGAGTTTCGGTGACATCTTATTTTGAAAAAACACTCCGGACAAATTTACAACACTTTGGTTAGGTTGGGGGCTGTTTTTACCCCATTGACTTCCATTTTGATCACATTTTTTGATTGCAAAGCATTGACACCATATAATCATGCATTCTGGATTGTTGCTGGTTTTATTTTGACTTTCTCAGACATACTGAATCAAGGTGAGTGTGAAAAGGTCTTATACTCACCTTGATATGTCTCAGAAAATCTAAATAAGTCGCTGAGCTCTCAGAACATAGTAAACACAGTAAGTGTATTTCTGCACACACACTATAAGCTGCTGTTTTACTCCACAGAACTTCATATAAAAGCTATAAACTCTTTTGCGCAGGCATATCTAAAGGGTTAATGTTGCCGACTGATGATCAGCAGTAAAAATGACACATCTGTTCTCTTCCCATCAGGGAAAACCACCAACAATTAAGAATGCATGATTATATCCTGTCAAGGCTTTGCGATTTATAAATGTGATTATAATGGAAGTCAACGGGGCAAAAACAGCCCCCAACATAACGAAAGGGGAGTCAATCTGAACAATACACAAGGGTTAATGATCTTTTTATGTGTCGGTGGTTTAATGCACAAGTTCCAGCTGGTTGGATGCGAAAGGTAAGACTCCGCTGACGTAATAAGCGATGCCGAGCGAGAGCAGAGCGATGACGAGGAGCAGCAGGAGCACTCGCCAGAAACCAAGATCTTCCACAAACTCCTGCCAGGTGGTTTTGAAGCTGGACAACACGCCGTCGCTGTGGTGCAGGTGTGGGTTCAGGAGAGAGTGGCTCTCCATGGCACTGCAAACACAACATCAGTAATCAGCATTTCTGGACAATGAGCAATTCCAGCGTTATGGATGTGACATTGGCTGTAAAGTGCATATGACAAAGTCTAATGCACATGGCACCAAAGCATTAAGAGCTTTTCCAAATCCAATTTTGCAATTTTAAGGACAGAAAAAGATGCTCTGCGCCCGGTGCATGGTCTAACAGGGTTGTGCTTATTCTCCTAATGAGTTCTGGGTGTGTTTTGAGCATAACGTGTATTAGGCAAATCAGAGTTTCATCTCACATTCCCTTTAAGAGTCAGTTGGGTCGCTCCATGGTGCATTTGCTATTTACATGGCGAGTTTGTAAGAGTAAAAACTGCTTCACTAGCGAGAAAACACTTAAACAGAGCATCTGCAGCGCGAGGATAAAGAACGAGCCTCCTCCATTCAGCCTCTTTTTTTTTCTCTTTACTTTTACTCTTTACTCCTTTACTCTGGTGGAGTAAGGAAATTTGGATATAATCGTATCTAAATACTTTATTAAAATATTTCAAAACTCCTCCGTTGTTTATTGATTTGTTTAATAAGTTTTTTTTTAGGTTTTCACCTTTATTGGATAGAAAAGTAGAGAGAATTGACAGGAAAGCATGGGGAGCAGAGAAAAGGGAAGGATCGGCATAGTACCACGAGGCGGAATCGAACTTGGGTCGCCGAGAGCACTGGAGTGCATGTGTGGACACCCTAACCACTACACCACTGACTCCGACATTTTCAGAAAACATCTAAAATGTTTTTTTTTTTTTTTTTTTTTAAATATAAGTTAAAAATGGCTTAAGTATTGTATGTACCCAAACTGTTCTAGATTTTGTTTGCATTATATTGGTTTATTTATTTAATGTGATTTTATTACATCCGATTTAAATTATTTCAATATAGCTTAGGCCAGGGGTTTTCAAAGTCTAAGACAGTGGGCCTCCCTTTTGACACAACTTATCCATTGGCGCCCCCCTCCTCCCAAACACGCACACACACACACACACACACACACACACACACATATACAGTATATATAATGACACAAACAGATGTCAGACTGTTAACTCACTTTTGTTAATTCACTTTTCATCATTTGCATGAAAGTGCAATTATTTACAGAGTAATAACAAGTATTTTAATATAACGTTTTTAAAACTAGGATGATGGTTCAATATGAATAGAACAGATCCAAGAACTGTTCATCTCAGTCAAAACAGTTGAAGTTTAGCGGGTCTTATGCTGTCATTAGCCAAAATATCTTGACAAACCACACTTAAAGGTCGTGGTTCATCAGCTGGTCCTGTCCACGTAAATCCTAAACTCAAATACTGATCATCATATCGTCGTCTTTTGGGTTTAAGCCCTGAACTTGAAGGCTTTGAATCGGGGGGTCTCAGAAACCGATCCATTGCAAACACGTGCACACATAGGGCTCAACCTGTGCAGTGCACATGCCCTTTTTAGTCCTGGATAGAAAGTGCCCTTCCAAAATGATCAAAAGTGCCTCCGCGACGCGGCACACCCTTCGGTCCCGCCCTTCAGTAGGCGCGCGACAACACCGATCTTGAGCACGCGCGCGACAACACAGCTGATCAGAACGCGCGCAACAGACAAACAAAGCTGTCAAAGCTGTGCTTGTAAACGCGCACGTTTCATGCACAAATACACCTTTTTAACCTGACAAAAACTGACAACTTTTCCTTGTTGCGGTGTCTTTAATATGATGTAAAGATTATTATGCGTAATTGAAACATCAAGGAGGACGCAGCAAAGAAATACCACTTATAAATTAAAACTACTTTAATTATTATTTTATTCAGCAGCCTTACATTTAAAAGAGAAACATGAGGGCGATCTTAAGCAAAAAGACCGCTAGCCTATAAGGTGTTTTATGGAATAGCCTTTCTTAAACTGACCAGCTATACGTTTTCTTTCTCTTATTTAGTTATTTGTTTGACGCATGTACTCTTGTGTGATCGAAAAAGTAATGTAATGGCGGCACGCCATCTCTACCAGACTCCTTTCACTCCGCCCCAAAGCCCTATCCGGCCCTCTTTGGCCCAAAGTATTCGGAAGCCGAAAAAGGCCGGCTCCTGGCCCCGAGGAAGCCCCGCTATGGCCCGATCAGGCCCCGGAAGTGACAGTGAAAACCCAACTGGCCATGGCTCGCTCACTTTAGGCGCGATAGTGGTAATGCAGCTAATGGTCCCAAACTGGATCCTGAAAGGCCACAGCTCTGCAGATTTTATCTCCAACTCATACCTGCGTAATAGTCCCTAGTAGTCTTGAACACCTTGATTGGTTGGATCAGCTGTGTTTGATAAGGGTTGGAGCAAAACTGTGCAGAGCTGCAACCCTTGAGGACTTGACTTTGAGACCCATGCTTTAAGTCAGGGGTCTCAAACTCGCGGCCCGCGGGCCATTTGCGGCCCTCAGTGCAATATTTTGTGGCCCGCGCCGACCGCTGCACACTGACAGAATCAGCGGAGCGGGGAGAGAGAGCGCTCCCCGCTCCGCTGATTCTATCCGTACACAGCAGTCACTGGCATTCCCCGCCCTCCGTGCAAACAAAGGGGCGGGGATGCCGGTGACGTCACCACACACCCCGCCCCTTTGTTAGATGCTGTGACGGGCGGGAAGTGTTAGGAGGGAACTCGCGCTGGCCAGAACCAAGGTAAGCTGTTCCCGCCCCTGCCTGCCACTTAGCTACCTATCTACAACCTGCCACCTACCTAGCTACAGCCTGCATCTTATATATATTATAGGTAGATACAGACTGGTACAGACTGATGTGACTGGAGTGGGGTGGGGGTGTTTTATTTATACATATATACGCCTTTTTTTTTAGGTGAGGGAATGGAAGTTTTGAGTGAGTTCCCCCACTTTTTTCCCTAGGACTTCAATAAGTCAAAGTACAGGTCTAGACTTAATGATGATCATCTTCAAGCCATACTGAGGGTCTCAACTGCTTCCGCTCTAAAGCCAAATGTGGTTCAGATTTGTGAGAAGAAGCGCTGTCAAGTCTCTGGCAGCAAGGAGTAGGCAAAAGATGCCATGTTCAGAAGAACTGTTCATAATCTTCACTCAATGTTCAGGACACTTCATGTTCAGAAGAAATAATTAAAACTGTTAATAATGACATTTGAGGACTTTTTTTTTTGTGAAATCCCTTATGCGGCCCAGCCTCACCCAGACTTTGCCTCCTGCGGCCCCCAGGTAAATTGAGCTTGAGACCCCTGCTTAAAGTAATGTCTCAGAGCAGGGGTGTCCAAACTCGGTCCTGGAGGGCCGGTGTCCTGCAGATTTTAGCTCCAAGCTAGCCAAGGTGTGTCTGATTGGGGTTGGAACTGAACTTTGCAGAACACCGGCCCTCCAGGACCGAGTTTGGACACCTCTGTCTTCGAGTGTACAGACTACAGTGTTGACTATAAAAGCAGGCGATGCTGTGATCTGACCTCTCATTCTCAGCCATGTGCATCTTCTCCAGACTGGAGTGTGAGCTGCGGTTGAAGCCCTTCACCTCCTGCTCCTCCAGACCCTCCAGCAGATGAAGAGCATCTTTATTCACGCCGCGTCTCTTGGCCAGAACCAGAGGAGTGGCTCCGTTGTGATTACTGTTCAGATCAGAAATACAGACATGAAGCACTCAATAAGCCTGCCACCATAAGTAATTTGTTTTGATTTATTATGGCGTTAAGCGATATTTATTGTTATTTTAAAGAAGTTGATGTACTTCCAACTGAAGTAGGGGACTAATCCACTACTGAGTAGGGGACAGGGCTTTTTTTTTTTTTTTTTTGCATATAATTTCCCGGTAGCAAATTAACGGTAAGAGGAGCAAGGCTGAGAATATTGTGGATAAACTGTAATAGTTATCAGGTAAATGTAACAAAATCCCAATTTCTTCAGCTATCAGTAAAATCTCACACTGACCAGATGTCAATCTTGAGGCCGTTGGACACCAGGAACTGGATGGTGTCCACATGTCCGCACATGTGCAGAGCCGTGTTTCCCTGCGAGTCGGTGGCCAGCAGATCAGCACCAAACTTATGGAGAAGAGAGCAGATCTCCACGTTCCCCCGAGCGGCAGCCAGATGCAGGCCGGTGCGTCCGCGGCAGTCTCTCATGTTCGGGTCAAACCCAGACTCCAGGAGGCGTTTGGTGTGAGCCAGATCCCCATCGATGCAGGCCTGCAGCAGCGGCACTGTAGCCTGCAGGGAGTCGTTGACGAACACGTACGACATCTGTGGAAAAGATCACACTGACTTCACAAGCTCCTACAAACTCTTTTGCTGGGGGTTTTTGTCTTCTTTTTTTAGATACTTTTATAGTTTCAAAACATTAGAAGACACTGTCTTTATTGATTTTAGTAGCTTTTAACATGTACTACAGAAATTAAAACCAAACATGCAAGGAAAAAAAAAAGTAAAATAAAAAATAGGAAAAAAAATTAACAAAAAATTAAGTTAAATATATATATATATATATATATATATATATATATATATATATATATATATATTTATATATATATATAATATTTTTTTATAATTAGAGTTTTTTTTTTTTACTTAATTTTTTGTTAATTTTTTTCCCTATTTTTTATTATTTTACTTTTTTTTTCCTTGCATGTTTGGTTTTAATTTCTGTAGTAAATGTTAAAAGCTACTAAAATCAATAAAGACAGTGTCTCCTAAAGTTTTGAAATATACTCATATATACTTATATATATATATAATAGGGATGCTCCAATCAGGATTTTTGCTGCAGATACAGAGCACTGATTCCTTGTCATGATGATCGGCTGATACTTCTGATGCTTCAAGCTTTATAATGCATTAAGCTCATGTTTAAGTATCATACCAAACTGGGGATCTTGCCTTACCTTAGAGCAGCGTTTCTCAAACTTTTTTCACCAAGTACCACCTCAGAAAAAAAAAAAATGTCTCTCCAAGTATTACCATAATGACCAGTATTGAAATAAAGTAGCATAGTAGGCCAAATTAAGCAGCTACAGCATTGCACAGTTCAAAAACGAGGAAGTCATATTCATATTTACACAAGTTTTGATCAATATTAAAATATATATTGCATGTGCATATGACATATTTGTTAAACTTTTTGAAACCTAAACATTAACTTGTATGTAGATTGCTAGGGAGCCTGTTTTTCTCAGAGGATGTCAAGCTGACAAAACATTGCTGCACTCTCATACAAGTTTTGTTCGAGTACTGATCGTGTCACTAACTGATTATCGGCCGATACAGATTTCTGAATGAACGATCTGAGATCCTTAATATATATATATATATATATACACACACACACACATACATTTATTTATATATACAGGCCCGGATTGGCTAATCGGGAGAACCGGGAGAATTCCCGGTGGGCCGGTCTGTTTTTTGGCCACGAGGGCCGGTGTCCCTAGCTGCTTGCACTCTCAGCAGTTGCACTTTTTTTCATTTATTTGTTTATTTGACCACAACCTCACTCTTTTTATTCAATATTTTGCCGCAGCTCTGCTCTTTTTATTTATTTTCTCGCAGCCCCGTGAGCAAAATGCAGCCCGCTTGTTAATGATCATCATTTATATGCGGGCTGCACCCCATTCCACCTCAAACAGCGGCACCTTAGTGAATAAATATTAATGAATATTACACCTGCTCCATGAAAATCAGATGATTCACTACATTAATAAATCTGACATAACTTTATCAGAAAAAAGTAGGGTAAAAAAAAAAGTAGACATCAATAGCAGCAGTTAACTGTGCAGTACTTAACAGCGCCATCGTGGTCTAGTGGTTATCACGTTACATTATTAGGACGCTGCCGATCCGAGTTGAACCTCACCAGAATATAATATAATTTTTTTAATTTTCAGTGTTAAGACATAAAATACTATTTGGGTTACTTATGTAGGGGTACACTTTTTTTTTTGACAGTGACGACTATTACAAAGGACTGGATATCTATAAAGAATTAATGTTCTCATATTGATGAAAAACATTTGAAGTTCTAAAGCAGCTGTGTCCTTGAAAAAGATGTGGTAGTGTCATTTGAAACTGAATTGGAAATCACCTTATGTGAATAAAGTCAGTCGTGAACTGAGGTGGGCCGGTCTAAGGCTTGAACTCCAGAGCTAAAAAGGAGTCCCACTCCGGCCCTCTATATATATATATATATATATATATATATATATATATATATATATATATAAAACTAAATGCATATACTTACAAATTCAATAAAAAGGTACATCATAAAACAACAACAGCATAGCAATAGCAGGTGATACAAGTTTTACAGATAAAGAATTTGTATCAGCTTCCTTCAGAAATCCCACAAAGGCATATTTTTTAAAAACTTTTCAGGTTTTCTCTGGATTATATAAGTAAATTTTTCGAAAGCCAAACAATAAAACAATTCCTGCAACATTACACTTGACAAAACATTTTAGAAACTAGTATTAGTGAGAACTAGTAGTTATTTTTTAATGAGGTAAAGTTGGTTTTACATTCACACATTCGTTTAGTGACAACTTGTGACACGCTCAAAATATTGTTTACCGTGGTGCTTTTTATACTAGCACTAATTAATGTATTATTACTAATTATTAGGATAATTCCATGCAAGTATGACTTGAAAACAACATTAGCACTATTTGTTTGACTGTGTGAATATATAACCAACTTTACTTTATTTTTATTTTTTTACCCTATTCACTTGCAGTGTTGTTGTGGAAATGTGTATTTTTATTAACATAACCATTTGCCTCACCCAAGAACCACTGACACAGTTAAATGTGTGAAAAAGATGCCAGACAACAACACCTAAAGTAACTTACACGATTTATCCTGAAATCTCTACATGACTAAGTACATATAACGTTTATTGCACGCTTTAAAGTTTACTTCTCAATAACAAACATAATTTAGATTACATTGCGGTGATTTAATAACTAAACTTCACGAATGAATAATAGCTAACAGACTAGCATTGTCCAGCTAACAACAGAACAAAATAAACAAAACACGCGACCGTAACAAAAACAGCATCTAATGCATTGTTTTAAATATGTAAATGATGTTAATGTATACCTCAGAGTGCTCCCTCGACGGAATCTTAAAAAAATTCGCAGTTTTTTTCCCAGCCTCTGTTGTGGAAAATAGAAATAGAATGACGTAAACAGATGTAGGGCCAATCACAAAAGACTACAAGCCCCAGGGTATGTTATTGACCCACTTCCGCGTCTCGCATCTGGGAAATGTAGTGATTATATCGCTGTGGACTAATGGAATGATTCAGATGTGGACTGCGATTCCCACAATGCACTGCGATGTATTTGTACCAGATGACGGCCGAGGATGGAGGCAGGTAGGAAATTTATGGACAAAAAATACTGAATTAATCTGTAATGTATCGTTTTAGTCAGTCGACCGCTTTCTTGTGACATCCTAAGTAAAGAAAGCGTCGACGAAAGTGTACTAAAACAACCCAAGGAAGCTTCCATAACAAATTTCGTAACTGAGTTTCAAGTTTTCTCATTGTTCTTTAGTGGCCTGTGTATCTCACACTTTCAATTTCAGATCAACAGAGTTAGTATTTTCCACGGATAGTTGTTGTTCAGTACGTTGACAATAGCATTAAGAAGTTACCATGCTAATACCATGTTAGTTGGCATGTACCATGTTTTGTTGACATTTAACATAGTATCTAAATAAGATGCTAGATGTTATTAGATGTTACCATCTGTTAATAGTGCCTGTTTACATTGAGGTAAAGTTGGTTGTATATTCAAACATTGGTCCAGTGACAACTTATGACATGCTCCCTATATTGTTTACCATAACTCTTTGAATATTGTGTCTGAAATCAGATGTATGACTTGAATCAACATTATCACTATTTAATTGACTGTAAACAGATAGACACTTAGATAGAAATTGAATGATAATATGATTTAGAATTCGCAAATAATACTTTTCTGAAATTATATTATTAAGGAGAAAGTCTGAATGTGTGATTATTAAACCAACTTTACCTCAATCCTGTTCATTGTTTGCTTTTTAATGGTTGTGTTGCTTTATCAAAACTTCAGATTCAGGAAAAGTCGACTAATGTTTGTTATATATATATATTATTTTTTTTCAGTTTTAGCCAAGTATGAGAATCAAATCAACGTGTTCCTGGAAGACCTGCCAGATACAGACGAGCCAGTATGGATCCTGGGAGCATGTTACAATGTGAAAACAAGTAAGATATGATCGCAATGCATATGCATCAAAATTGTCACTTTAACACTGCATCAGCCACCATAAATTGGGGTTAAGGTGGTTTTATATTCACACATTCAGACTGTCTGCTTAATAATATTTCAGAATAGTGTTCTATGCAAACTCTAAATAGAGAAATCATATTAGCAGCCAATAACTATCAAAGTACAACACTGTTCACAGCCAGTTAAACAATTGGGTTAAAGTTGTATTTTTTATTCACACATTCTTAATATAATTTCTTAATATATATTCTTTGTAAATTTTAAATTTAGCAGACCACTAATTAAAATAATACATTTTATATTTAAGGTTATTTAAGTTCTACACATTGTGCACACTATCACTGAGGTAAACAGGGTTTTATATTCACACATTAGAACTTTTCATGTTCAATAAAACAGTAAAGTGGAATTTTCAAAAGCATTTGAGGTTGTGACATCATAGTTTATGTGAAGAACAACATGTGTAAATATATATATGCACACACAAAGGGAAAAAATCCAGTGAGCGGCAGTTCTGTGAGTGCAAATGCCTTGCTGATTCCAGAGGTCAGAGGGGAATGGCCAGACTGGTTCCAGCTGATAGAAAAGCAACAGTATCTCTGATAAGCACTCGTTACAACCAAAGTCTGCAGAAGAGCATCTCTGAACACACAACACGTCCAACCTTGAGGCAGATGGGCTACAGCAGCAGAAGACCACACCGCGTGCCGCTCCTGTCAGCTAAGAACAGGAAACTGAGGCTACAATTCACACAGACTCACCAAAACTGGACAATAGAAGATTGGAGAAACAATGCCTGGGCTGATAAGGCTCGATTTCTGCTGCAGCACTTGGATGGTCGTGTCAGAATTGGATCCATCCTGTCTTTTATCATTGGTTCAGGCTGGTGGTGGTGGTGTAATGGTGTGGGGGAGATTTTTTGGCACACTTTGGGCCCATTAGTACCAATTGAGCATCAACGCCACAGCCTACCTGAGTATTGTTGCTGACCATGTCCATCCCTTTATGACCACAGTGTACCCATATTCTGATGACTACTTCCAGCAGGATAACACACCATGGCACAAATCTGGAATCATCTGGTTTCTTGAACATGACAATGAGTTCACTGTACTCAAATGGCCTCCACATTCACAAGATCTCAATCCAATAGAGCACCTTTGGCATGTGGTGGAATAGGAGATTGGCTTCATGGATGTGCAGCCGACAAATCTGCAGCAACTGCGTGACACTATCATGTCAATATGAAGCAAAATCTCTGGGAAATATTTCCAATACCTTGTTGAATTTGTACCACAAAGGATTAAGGCAGTTCTGAAGACAAAAGGGGGTCAAACCTGGTATTGGTAAGGTGTACCTAATAAAGTGGCCGGTGAGTATAGATAGATAGATAGATAGATAGATAGATAGATAGATAGATAGATAGATAGATAGATAGAATACAAAACCAACTTTATCTCAATCATACTATTCAAATGCTTTTTTGACTATGGGTTAAATTTATTATTATACATCATAAAACCGTATAGTAATATTTAACATGCCCATAATATTGCTGCAAAACGACTCATCTCAGGTACTTGATATTATTCAAGGTATTATTCTTACCTCCTATCAGACGTATGAGGAGAACAATGACACCCCACTAAACACTTAACAAGCTCACTGTAACATATGACTGCCTAAATCTGTGCTCAAAATAAATTCCATCACTAATTTTCATTTTACTTCTTTAGAGAAATCCGAGCTGCTGTCGGATGTGCGATCGCGGCTGTGGTTCACTTATAGAAAAAAGTTTTCCCCTATAGGTAAGTGGCATGCAAACTGACTAAATCTTTGGTCCAGGACACAGCAAGCCAATGGTCGGCAGCAGATGCAGAATGCACTCTTTCATTTCAGTCGCCTGTTGTCTGTTTGGTGTGTTCATGCACAGCTTTTTGATCCAGACGCGAGCCGACAGCACTGTTGGTTTTGATCAGCACTAGTTGTTTGGTGTCGACTTGGTGTGTCCTGGTTTTTTAAACGCTTGCTAGACTGTGTGGTTGGAGTGTGTTTAGCATCTCTGTATCTGTGTGTGTGTGTGTGTGTGTGTGATGTGCAGGAGGAACAGGTCCTTCATCAGATGCCGGCTGGGGCTGCATGCTCCGCTGTGGGCAGATGATCCTTGCACAGGCTCTGATCTGCAGTCATCTCGGCCGGGGTAAGCAGATCACCTCCAGAAAATCTGTTGATGCACCAAAATAAAGTTCTGAGCCGAATTGTGACATTCTTTGCTATAATTATTAGTTTTATCAAGTAATATACTGTCTTAGTGGTTAATATCAGGGATATTTCACCAAAATGTCCATCATGTAAATACCCACTGGCCATTAATTGTATTATATTTGTGAGGAACTGTTTGTAAAAAAGTTTATAATTTAGTTATTTCAGTTTCCTATTTTGGATGTTATTAGAATCATTAAAATTTTTTTTTTATTAGTATGCAGTAAGTGTGTGTGTTTCAAGTAGGGATAAGTTGTGTACAAACCCAAATCAGACAAAGATGGGGCAGTATGGAAAACGCTAATTAAAAAGAGAAAGTAGTGATTTCTGAATTCACTTTGACTTGTATTTCATTGCGGACAACATGAACACAAAGGGCCCTATCATACACCCGGCGCAATGTGGCGCAAGGCGCGACACAATTGTTATTTGCTACTTTCAGCTTGGCGCGAGAGTGGTTTTGAGGTGTTGCACCACGCTGTTTAAATAGCAAATGCATTTGCGCTCATATGAGCACCCATAGGCGTTCTGCTCTAAAAAAGCAGGCGTGTTTTGGCGCGTTGCTATTTTGAGAAACTATAATAGTCTTTTCTTTAGACCCGAACAAAGCCGGTCTATTGTCTGGCGCAGAGTTGCGCCTCGCTTACACACTGTTTAATACACACAAGATGTAGAGCAATAGGCAAATATCTTTACATATGAAAAAATTTAAATGTTAAGGATATATATAGGATATAGTAAGGATATTTACAGGATATAAAATAAAGGATTAAAATATTACAAAACATATTAATTTCTAGCCAACTTGAATTTAAAAAAACACTGCCTTCATACTTTCTTCATCTTGGGAGGCTTTTTCAGTTCATAACAATTTGCTTTTATATACTGTTATTATTATTAGCAGTATTATTTATTATATGCATATTTATATTTGTTTTATTAAAAACAAGCTTAGATTTGCCCACCTGCAGGTTTTAGACCATATGGGGCACAGCATGTGTATTTGGATATAACTCTTAGGTTTTTGAGCACACTTTGTTATTAATGTTCATTTATTCGTTTGCTGGAAATTAGAACTGAATTTAGAAATAGTTTTGAAACAAATCTTTGTGCTTAACAAACTAAATTAATTATGTATAGGGTAATGGATGTCTGTGCGTACAAGGTTTCCCTATCCACGAGAGCAAAAGTGGAAGTAGATTATGAGATGCCTTATCTCTTATTGTCGCGCTGTAGATGCTCTGTTTAACCGTTTTCTTGCTAGTGAAATGCTCAGTTTTTCCACTCATTTACTTAACATCATGTAAATAGCGAATGCGCTTATGATGCGACGCAACTGACTCTTAGAGGGAATGGGAGATGAGACTCTGATTGGTTCTCAAAACACACCTATCACTCATTAGGAAAATAAATTCAACCCTTTTAGACCATGCGCCACGGCGCAAAGCAGATTTTTCCATTCTTAAATTAGGAAAAGGGGATTCTGATACGCCTTGAATGCGTTTGCGCCCTGCGCTTTGCGCATGGACCGTCAAAATAGAGCCCTAACTATTTCATGTTTTGTCTGGTCAACTTGGTTTCATTTGTAAATATCCATCCTTTCCTGTTATTCAGACCAGCAACACACTCCAAAAAAAGTAGCAACAGGAGAGGTTTAGGGCTTGTACTCTGTAATTATGTTTCGGTTACAAAAGTAGTATTCAAGAAAGGTCTAGTCCTTTAGGAGCAAAGACGGCCCGAGGATCGCCAGTTTGCCAACAAATACCTGAAATGTTGAAAACAATGTTCCTCGAAGAAAGAGAGGAAGACATTTGAATATTTCGCCTTCAACAGTGCAGAACATCAATAAAAGTTTCAAGGAATCTGGAGGAGTTTCAGTGCGTAAAGGAAAAAGGTGTAAGCCTGAGCTGAACAACCGTGCTCTCCGATCCCTCAGGCGTCACTACATCAAGAATCCTCATTCATCTATAAGCCAGATCACCACATGGGTTCAGGACTACTTTGGCAAATCTTTGTCAAGCACCACAATACATAGATACATCCACAAATGCCAGTGAAAACTGTACTGTGCTAAAAGGAAGCCCTATGTTAACAGTGTCCAGAAGCACAGTTGACTTCTTTGGGCTTGGAGGCATCTGTGGGAATGTGTACTGTGGTCAGAGTAATCAGTGTTTTAGGTATGTTTTGGGAGAAATGGAAGGCGTGTGCTCTGGACCAGAGAAGAATAGGATCATCCGGACTGTTACCAGCAACAAGTCCAGGGTCTGTCATGGTATTTAATTGTGTCAGTGCACTTGGCAATGGTAACTTGCATTCTGTGATGCGCTATTAATGCTGAAAAGTACATAGAGATTTTGGAGCACAATATGCTGCCTTCTTTTCCAGGGACACCCATGCATATTTCAACAAGACAATGCAAAACCACATTCTGCACACATTACAGAGTCCTGGCTGCGGAGGAAAAGGATACAGGTACTTGACTGGCCTGCCTGCAGTCCCGACCTGTCTACAAAAGAGAATGTGTGGCGCATTTTGAAGCGCAAAATGTGACAAGGGAGACCCTGTACTGTTGCCCACCTTAAGACTCGTTTGCAGGAAGAATGAGACAAGATGACACCTGAAACACTTCATCACTTGGTCTCTTCAGTCCCTGAAGCCTTTTAAGTGTTGTGAAAAGGAACGGCAACATTACAATATTATAAATGCTTTACTGCTCCGACTTTTTTTTTTAAAACGTGCTGCAAACAACAATATTGGAATAAGTGTTTATTTAGAAAAGAAATCTGTATTGGGGTTGTATTTGTCAAGGTGTTTGAGTGATGTAATGCTGCTCTTCTTCTTGACTGTGTCTCAGATTGGAGGTGGGATCCAGAGAAGCATCAGCCCAAAGAGTATCAGCGTATCTTAGACTGCTTTCTGGATAAGAAGGACAGCTGCTACTCTATACATCAGATGGGTATGACACTGTGTGTGTGTGTGTGTGTGTGTGTGTGTGTGTGTGTGTGTGTGTGTGTGTGTGTGTGTGTGTGTGTGTGTGTGTGTGTGTGTGTTTGTGTGTGTGTTTGTGTGTGTGTGTGTGTGTGTGTGTGTGTGTGTGTGTGTGTGTGTGTGTGTGTGTGTGTGTGTGTGCGTGTGAGAAAAGGCCTAGCTCTTTCTTTTTCAAACACTATGAGCAGGTGCACATGATAGTGTTGTCTGTGAGTCTTTCAGTGTGATTTGAGTGTTAAACCTCCTCTAGTGGGACTAAAGTCTGCTCTTGTGTGTCCTGTTTGTGCAGCTCAGATGGGTGTTGGAGAAGGCAAGTCTGTTGGAGAATGGTATGGACCCAACACAGTGGCGCAAGTACTCAAGCAAGTGTCCATACATTACAAATAATATTTTCACTGCAAAACAAATGCTTTTCTTACTTAGTTTTTTTGTCCTGTTTTTAGTCTAAATATTTAAATATTCTCAAATCAAGAAACATTATCTAGAGCAAGCAAAACATTGTCTTGTTTTCAGAAATAATATATGAAAATAAGGAGTTTTTTTTCCCTTAAAACAGGCAAAATAATCTACGAATGGGGTAAACAATATACTCTTATTTTCATTTATTCATTAGTTTTCCTTCGGCTTAGTCCTTTTATTCATCAGAGGTCGCCACAGTGGAATGAACCGCTAACTTATCCAGCATATGTTTTGCACAGCGGATGCCCTTCCAGCTGCAACCCAGTACTGGGGAACACCCATACACACTCATTTACACTTAAACACTACGTTTATCCAATTCCCTATAGCGCATGTGTTTGGACTGTGTAGGTAACCGGAGCACCCGGAGGAAACCCAATACGGGGAGAACATGCAAACTCCACACAGAAATGCCAACTGGCCCAGCAGGGACTTGAACCAGCGACCTTCTTGCTGTGAGGTGACAGTGCTAACCACTGAGCCACCGTGCCCCTCCCTCAATGTCTTCCAATTTCCTAAATTTTTTCAATTCTGTGTTCAACAGAAATAAAGAAACCACTTGTGGATGAGAAAATGATGAGAGGATTTTCATTTTAGTGCGAAATATCCTTTTAAAATGTACGTGCACCGGAAGCTGCTGAGACTTTTATTTCAGTATGTTGATGTACTTCCAACTAAAACTGAATATTGAGCAGGGGGCGGGGCGTTCTTTTGTTCATCGTTCCCTTAAAACAGACTGACGATAAGAGGGGGCGTGGCTAAGAATAGGGGCGTGGCTGAAGCGTCAAACTGACCTCATCAGAGAAGGAGCCAATCTAAACACAGAAGAAGATGCTCAGACTATGATTTGAGGATTACCAAAACAAACTATATTTTAAAAGTGGATAAACCTGCGCAGATGAACTGTTCACCTTATAAATGATAATGTGCGCTAGCAAAATAAACATCGTAAATTTTGATGTCACACAGACTTTAAGGATCGTAACACTGATGAAAGTGATGGAAAGTTAAAAACTTCAGAAAGCTTCATTTGAAGTACGCATGAACTGAAAGCTGTGACCGTTTTCGTATTGTGATGCAGTTCCTAGAGAAATGGAATATTGAATGAAAAAACAGTGGGCGTGGCTTATTGTTTTTTACTGCGAGCTGATTGGATGTAGTAAAGTAAGCATTTCTTGTAGAAAGATCTGGAAAAGGCTTTGGGAAGAGTTATTACAACCTAACAGACTCCTCCTGCTCACTATTTATGTTTGTTATCTAAACTGACAGCTGGAGGGGGCGTGGTGAAGTATGTTAGCCCCGCCCAATACCTCAGACAGACCTAGGCTGTTTCTCAATATGCGTTCTTCAGCGGTCTTGCGTCCTCGTGTTCTCGTGCAACGTCATCATCAGCTGCCTAAGTTCAGTTCCAATACTCAAGACCGCAAGTACGGAGGACGCTTGAAACTTCCCGGATGTGATCTTGATATGGAGGACGCAGCGATGCAGACTTGAGCACCGAACTCGCTCTGGAAGTCCCAGAAGTCATTGCGACTGGAGATAGGAAGCGCTGCATTTTATTTAGATTTATTACTAAAGTTCAGAGATATCATTTATTTACCTCAGGAGTTTCCCTAAATGAAACGGTGAGAGTAAACATTAACATGAATATCTTAATAAAGGAATAAACACATTAAGGGTTGTTTGTTTGCTGAAATTCGTATTAAAATCTGTTTTATTTATATTGTGCAGAGTATATTTATAATGCTTTTATGCAAAGTATATATTTTGAAGAGGGGAAAACAATAAATCGTTGTATAAATGCTGTAATGTTTAAATAATTTACCATTTAAAACACGTGAAGGTCACATGACCATCAGGAAGAACGCAGCATCTCATTTCTCAAAGGACGCATTCTCTGCCCTCTGACGAATTCCTTCTTCCGAGGACACCTGGCAAGACCGGTCTCCACAAGAACTCAAGTCCGTTCTCTGCGTTCTTGGAATTGAGAAACAGCACTTATCTGAGAATTTAACTGAAAACAAACAAGAAGCACATTTTCAGATCATAATTAAAGATTACAAGGGCAGATTATTGCTTTTTTTTCTTATAAATGACATACACAGATGATTCGTTCACCACAAAACTAATCATATGGTTATTTTTGATTTCATGTGTACTTTAAAACCGGATCTTGTCACCTGAAGGTGAAATAAACCAATAACCGAATGTTTGTGTGATTGCAGAAAACTGGCCCTGTTTGATGACTGGAATTCCCTATCTGTGTACGTGTCAATGGACAACACGGTGGTTATCGAAGACATCAGTGAGTGCCTTTTCTCTCATGTCAGCTGATTTATTTATATTGTGGGTCTCAGTTTACATTTAGTCATTTAGCGGATGCTTTTGTCCAATTGAGGAGACATTCAGTGATTCAATAAGAAGAGACAATACACACAACAAGTGATCATTACAAAGGAACTATTAGTGCTCAGAGAAGTAAGTGCTAGAGTACGGAGTTTAAGGCCCCGTTTACACTAATGCGTTTTCGTTTTAAAACGCATAAGTTTTGCTACGGTTACGCCATCCGTCCACACTACGCCGGAGTTCTCGAGCGCCGAAAACGAAGCGTTTTAAAACGCTGGAGAGGCTGTTTTCATTCTAAAACGCTGCTGCTCCATCTTAGTGTGGATGGGGAAAGACGGAGACATCTGAAAACGGAGGGGGGGCTGCAGACGTTCGCCTATCTGATTGGGGCTTTTCCTCAATATTAAGTAGCCTAACACACACAGTTCAGTCCTGCATCCTCTTCTTGTAAGTTCAGACTTCGCAAGTTTGATCAAGGCTGCAGTCTCCCCCTTCTCAGTTTGATATGGAAAACAGACTACCGAGGACACGCGTAAATCTTCAAAGGGAACAGTGTACTATATAACGTGTCTGGTGGATATAGAGAGAAGAGTGTTTCTACAGGTGTTTGTCAAGCCCACTCACATGTAAAATATATGGACCAACAGTTTTAGTTTACTAAAATACCCTTGGTATATAGTAAAGAAAGACACTGAATATACACTCACAGGCCACTTTATTAGGTACACCTTACTAGTACCAGGTTGGACCCCCTTTTGCCTTCAGAACTGCTTTAATCCTTCATGGCATAGATCCAACAAGGTGCTAGATATATTCCTCAGAGATTTTGCTCCATATTGGCATGATGGCATCACACAGTTGCTGCAGATTTGTCGGCTGCACATCCAGGGTGCAAATCTCCACCATATCCCAAAGGTGCTCTATTGGATTGAGCTCTGGGGACTGGGGAGGCCATTTGAGTACAGTGAACTCATTGTCATGTTCAAGAAACCAGTCTGAGATGATTCTAGCTTTATGACATGTGTTATCCTGCTGGAAGTAGCCATCAGAAGATGAGTACACTGTGCTCATAAAGGGATGGAGATGGTCAGCAACAATACTCAGGTAGGCTGTGGTGTTGACATGATGCTCAATTGATACTAAGGGGCCCAAAAATTGCCAAGAAAATCTCCCCTACACCATTACACCACCACCACCAGCCTGAACCGTTGATACAATGCAGGATGGACCCATGCTTTCATGTTGTTGACGCCAAATTCTGACCCGACCATTCAAATATCACAGCAGAAATGGAGACTCATCAGAGCAGGCAACGTTTCTCCAATCTTCTATTGTCCAGTTTTGGTGAGTCTGTGTAAATTGTAGCCTCAGTTTCCTGTTCTTAGCTGACAGGAGCGGCACCCGGTGTGGTCTTCTGCTGCTGTAGCCCATCCGCCTCAAGGTTGGACGTGTTGTGTGTTCAAAGATGCTCTTCTGACTCAATATTTAATCTCAACTTTCTTTTTTTTTTCAAGTTTCTTTCTTCTGTCGAGCACAAGACGAGATATTCTGAAGAATGTTGGAAATTTGACATCCATATTACGGACAAAAAGCACTATGGAAGTCAATGGCAGTTCCACTATGGAAGTTTATTTCCAGGATTCCTCAGAATATCTTTATTTGTGTTCAACAGAAGAAAGAAACTCAGATAAGTTATAAACAAGTGGAGGATCAGTGTTCATTTTTGGGTGAACTGTCCCTTTAAGGGTGGATTAAGCGGTAGGATGTAAGGCAACAGCTGGCTCTATCAACACACAAGCAAATAATCGGATCGGAGGCTCAAACACACTGAAAAGCCTTCATGTAAACACCTTAATCAATCCGACTGAGCTCCTTCTGAATTAAATTGTGATCAGATTGGAAGACATGGTGTAGAGTTAATCCAATCCAATCGAGACATGTTACCATCTAATATGATTATTATAAACCGATGACAAAATAGATATGGTGTAATGAAGTATGTCACATGGACTGAGCTGCTGCTGCTGTTGTTTTTTTGCAGAATTAAAGGGATAGCTCACCCAAAAATGAAATGTTTCCACTATTTACTCACCCTCAAGTGGTTGCACATCTTTATGAGTTTCTTTCTGCTGATAAACACAAATGAAGATCATTTAATGAAAGCTGAAAACATGTAACCATTGACTTCCAGAGTATAACACTATAAGGAGCATTCCTATAAAGACCTGTCCTCTCTCCTGTGCACCAGAGAAGCTGTGTGTCCGAGCAGATCTCCAGCTTCAGTCTCAGCAGCCCCTGGACTGGAGGCCCCTGCTGCTGGTCATCCCTCTGCGGATGGGGATTAACAGCATCAACCCTGTGTACATACAGGCCTTAAAGGTAAAACACTCATCTGATGTTCATTCCTGGAGTATGTTGCATAGTTCTGAAGGTCCCTCATCTGTAGGGTGACCATATGTGTCATTTTCATCAGACATCTAGACCTTTCTTTTGTTTTGTAAGGGTAAAGATTGAAAAGTAGCTTGTATGGAGTTAAGGGAACACTCACTTTAGTAATTAGGCTCATTTTTTAGCTCCCTAAGAGTTAAACAGTTCAGTTTGACCATTTTTTAATCCATTGAGCCTATCTTCGAGTCTGACAGGAGCACTTTTAGCTTAGCTTAGCATAGTTCATTGAATCAGATTAGACCATTAGCATCTCGCTTTAAAACGATAAAAGTGTTTTGATTATTTTCCTATGTAAAGCTTGAGTCTTCTGTAGTTACATCAGGTACTGAGACCAACACAAAATTAAAAGTTGCTATTTTCTAGGCTGATATGGCTAGGAACTGTACCTTTATTCTGGCGTAATGATCAAGAAACTTTGCTGCTGTACTCTGACAGTAACAGACACAATAATATTTTGCATGAAAATCAGCTTCTTGCACAAGAAGGGTACCTTGCAACTGTGGAGGCATGAGTATGAACTGAATTAGCTGTAGTGTTTGAGTGAATGTAAATGAGTGTGCATCCGCTGCGTAAAACATACAGTATGCTGGAATAGTTGGCGGTTCATTCCGCTGTGGTGATCCCTGATAAATAAAGGGACTAAGCCGAAGGAAAATTAATGAATAAACAAGTTGCTTTCTAGATGGATCGGCAACTTGGATTAAACAAATTATTATGACTACTAGGGATGTCACGATTTCAATTTTTAATCGAAATCGATCGAAATTTATGCTCAATTTCGATTATCGAATCAAAAAATAGAATCGTCGATGCTGCCACGCCCCCATGTCACGTCAGCTTGGCTTGCCAAGCGGGAAAAAAACAGAAGTTGAAGTGCTTGTTAAACTGCAGAAGCAGGAGACCCGTCGACAGAGCTTAAACCCTCTCCTCTTTCAATAAAGTCGCCGGTGTGGAAGCATTTTGGATTTCCAGTGAGTTACGTTGACAACGTTCGTGTTGTCGACAAAAAAACACAGTTTTGCAAGCTCTGCTATGTACGTATTGCGTACGGTTCGTCCGATAGACAACACCGGCATCGCGATCCTCCGCCAGCGAAAAGTACACACTCAGGCCCTGTTTACACTGTCTTTGTTTTTAAATGGCATTTTAGAACGACAACGATTTGACATCCACAGTGGCGTGTAGCATTTCTGAGCAGCACTCCTTCCTCTCTACCGCTGAAAATGCACATCACGTGACCACACAGACACAGACGCACACACAGCCATGCGCTCGAGACAGCAGGTCCAGGCAGTCAGAGGACTGCTTCAATCTTTCACTCACTTGTACTTAGTCATTTTAGCGAACACCTCAGATACTGTTGGCTGGTTCCTGTTGGTTGTGCGTCTTTTTTACCGACGCCATTATAACGTCACAGATCACTGCCTATTCACGAGTCCCGCAGAAAAAAGTGATTGACAGGTGGTAATTATGTGTGTATCTTGCCTTTATTCATTTACTGTATGATTTGTTTATGGGTAAAACAAAGACCATGCAGGTCAGGTAGTTTAAACGGTAGGCTGCAAATAATTAATTGGTCATTAATTAATTAATTATTCATAATCGAAAATCGAATCGTGCCTTTAGAATCGAAAATGTAATCGAATCGAGGATTTGGAGGATCGTGACACTCGTACAGACTAGGAATGTTAAAAAGATACAAATGCAGTGCAAACAAGGACAAAACTCCTTTATTTTTCTATTTCTCTCTTTCCTATTCTTTCACAAGACTTTCAATATTGATCTGCGTCTTCTGATTGTATTTTATTAAGGAGAGTGAGAAAAATTAAACATCTCTAAAACACTCATTTTGTTTCATATTGTCTTTCACTAGGAGTGTTTTAAGATGCCTCAGTCATGCGGTGTTCTGGGGGGAAAGCCAAACCTGGCCTATTATTTCATTGGGTTTATTGGTGAGTTTTCTCTGTTTTATTTGCTCGAGGTAATAAAATAACACACTCAATATGTCTACATGGTCTAACATGCAAAATAAATATTGTTTTAGTTCATTTTTTGTCTTATTCTTGTCCAAATACCTAACAATTCTTAAATGAAGAAGCATTTTCTAGACACATCAAAATATAGTCTTGTTTTCAGAAAAAAGTAAGTAATAATTAAGTGAGTTTGTCCTCAAAACAAGCAAAATAATCTGTCAATGGGGTAAGAAAATAATCCTATTTTATTTTGCGGACCTCATTGGCAGATTATTTCGCTTTTTTAAGGAGAAACTCACTTAATTTTGACTTATTTTTTCTAAAAACAAGACTATATTGACTTGTCGAGAAAATGCCTCTTGATTTTTGAATTTCTGGATATTTGGACAATTATTTAGAAACAAGACAAAAACTCTATGTATGTAAGAGAAGCATTTGTTTTGCAGTGTATGAATGTGTTATTGAAGCATTATGACTGTTTGCTTCTTCAGATGACGAGTTGATTTATCTGGATCCTCACACGACGCAGCAGGCCGTGGACACTGAATCAGGCAGTGCCGTGGACGATCAGAGTTTTCACTGTCAGAGGACCCCTCACCGCATGAAGATCACCAGTTTGGATCCTTCTGTCGCTCTGGTGAGACTGTTTTATCTTCTCTTTCAGCACCAATAAGTGTATGTGCTGGTCAACAATCTGGAATCTGAATCAATATTTACAATCATTTGGAGCAAGAAAAGAAGACATATTGTATAATATCTGGCAACCTTTCATAGGTTATTTTAATGAGATCAATTCTACAGGGAATAGTTTAATTGAATAGATCAGATTCTCCCTAATATCAAATTCTCCATAAAAAAGGAAAAAAGAAGACGTTTTCTATAAAGTCTGGCAACCTTTCCTGGGTTATTTTAATCAGATCAATTTTACAGGAAATAGTTAAAGTGAAGACATGAGATTCTCCCTAATATCAAATTCTCCCCAAAACAAAAGAAGACGTTTTCTATAAAATAATATATGAAAGGTTGCCAGATTTTATAGAAAACATCTTTTTTTAATTTTAATATTAGGGAGAATCTGATCTCTTCAACCTAACTATTTCCTATAAATCTGATCTTATTCAAATCTGGAAATCTTTCATATATTATTTTATAGAAAACGTCTTCTTTTTTTGAGGAGAATCTAATTTTAGGGAGAATTTGATATTAGGGGGAATCTGATATTAGGGAGAATCTGATCTCTTCAACTTAACTAATTCCTATAGAATTGATCTCATTAAATTAATATATGAAAGGTTGCCAGATTTAAATGAGATCAGATCTATAGGAAATAGTTAAGTTAAAGAGATCAGATTCTCCCTAAAAAAAGAAGATGCATTCTATAAAATCTGGCAACCTTCCATAGATTATTTTAATCAGATCAGTTCAACAGAAAATAGTTCATTTTAAGAGATCAGATTCTCTCGAATATCAGATTCTCCCTAAAAAAGATGTTTTCTATAAAATCTGGCAACCTTTCCTAAATTATTTTAATGAGATCAGATCTATAGAAAGCAGTTAAGGTGAGAAGATCAAATTCTCCCTTATATCAGATTCTCCCTAAAAAAAAAAGAAGAAATATTCTATGAAATCTGGCAACCTTCCATAGATTGTTTTAATCAGATCAGTTCAACAGAAAATAGTTAATTTGAAGAGATCAGATTCTCTCCAATATCAGATTCTCCTTAAAAAAGAAATTTTCTAAAAAAAATCTGGCAACCTTGCATAGATTATTTTAATGGGATCAATTCCACAGGGAATTGTTCAATTGAAGAGATCAGATTCTCCTTAATATCAGATTCTCCATAAAAGAAAAAAAGAAGACGTATTCTATAAAATCTGGCAACTTTTCATAGATTATTTTAATCAGATCAATTCTACAGGATATAGTTAAATTGAAGAGATCAGGTTCTCCCTAATGTCACAGTTTCAAAAAAAAAAAGAAGTCATATACTATTATATCTGGCAACTGTTCATAGATTATTTTAATGTGATCAATTCTACAGGAAATAGTTAAAGTGAAGAGTGAACAGTTAATGTCATTATATATAAACATAGTTAACCTGCAGTTATAGGTGGTGTATGTGTGTACATGTTTATTATTCATGCAGATCCAAAAGTGTTTGTTTTGAGGCCGGCCTTTCTGTGAGCATTTGTTTGTGTACAGTTGCACTAATCATGTGTTTGATTTGAACAATAAATAAATGTCAAACGCAAACAAACCTAATGGCCATCCACTAAAAAAATAAAAGTTTGCAACACACTATTAAATCACTTTTATTGTCTTCTTGTGAATTGGTTTGGTGCATTTAATTTTTCAGAGAGTGAATAAGAGTCAAACATTATGATTGTAGGTGTCAGAATGTGTTGATTTCCTTCATCACATGATTTATTGCTCCTCTAGGGTTTTTTCTGCAAGAGCGAGGAGGACTTTGACAGCTGGTGTGATCTGGTTCAGCAGGTAAGACTGGCACATGACGGCGTTCACATCAGGATCAGCTCGTTTCTTGACATTTTTAACATGCTCTCATTTTTTGGCTCCGGGTTTTCAGGAGCTCCTCAAGAAGAGAAACTTGCGGATGTTCGAGCTGGTAGAGAAGCATCCCTCCCATTGGCCTCCGTTTGTTCCTCCGACCAAACCAGAGGTGCAGACCACAGGAGCAGGTAACAGACCTGATCACTACAAGAAGAACAATTATGAGTACTACACTGCATAAACGCTTGTCTTACTTAGATTTTTTTGACTTGTTCCTAGACCAAACATCTTTAAAAAACTCTTAAATCAAGAAGCATTTTTTTTAAAAGACAGAACTGTTGTATAAATATATATATCATGAGCAACACAAAATATTGCTTGTTGAATTGTCTGCAATGAAATACAAGTCAAAGTAAATTTAGAAATCACCACTTTCTTATTTGGTTTTACACACTGTCCCAACTTTTACTGATTTGAGGTTGTACCAAAATAAACAGTGATTTTCAGCAGTCTAACAGTAGTTCATTTACATAAACTTAATAGTTTAATCAAATATAACACTGCCTATTGTATACAATCTTCACTATGTAAATTAAATAAAGGTTAAACGTGAGCTATAGCTATTCTGTTAAGAGCAGATACAGTTGAAGTCAGAATTATTATTAGCCCGCCTGTTTATTTTTTTCCTAGTTTTCTCTTTAAAGGGCACCTATGGTAAAAAATCTACTTTTCAAGCTGTTTGGACAGATCTGTGTGTTGTAGGGATGGGAAGATTAACCGATATGTATCGATACGCGGTTATGCGCGTTCACGATGCGAGTGCATCGGTTGAGCAGCAGAGGATGAATGAAATTTTGGAAGCAAATCGAGATGCATCGGTTTTTGCGAGATGCATCGATTTTTCCGAGATACAGCTTATATTTTTAATATAGAATGTATTTTTTATTTATTAACAAGTGTTGTCAACCTGTTTTTGGCGCATAATTTAATCGACCTACATAAAGTAAGCCTTAGCAACGGATTTGCGGATGTGCACACACTACAACTCAGTGTATCAGGTGTGCGGATGAAGCTAGTGGAGCGCCCTCAGAAAGCGCGAGAAGCAAAACAAACATTTTATTCCCCACTGAGTTTTAAATCTAAAGTATGGCAAGCAACATTATGGATTTAAGGATGGACGACATGACAGGACAGATGCAATTTGCAAAATGTGCCGCGCATCTGTAAAATACACGGGCAGTACGACTAATCTGATATCTCACTTGAAGCGGCGCCACGGTGTTGTTGTGAAAGCATCTTCCAGTGTTTCTGCATCCCCGGCTTTCGCACTGCTTCAACCAGCTCCAAAAGTGGTGAGAAAAGCATTGAAAGTTTTTTTTTCCATGCGCAACAGTTCTGCTCGCTCTACGCCAATAACGAATGCTATTGCATTGTTCATCTGCAAAGATATTCAGCCTAGTGTCACCGAGAACGAAGGTTTTAAACACCTCCTCCTGTTAATTTTTATTTAATTATAATAATAATAATATTAATAATAATAATGATAAAAATAATTGGGTGTCACAGTGGCACAGTGGGTAGTTTGACCACCTCACAGCAAGAAGATTGCTGGTTTGTTATATTTTTATTAGCCTGTTGTTTACAGTGACAGTGATGTTTCAAAGCAGCATAACACTGCTAGTTCACCACCTTAAGTTTTGAATAATCAGTGGCAAAATATATCTTTGTAAAACTTGTTTTCATAGTTGAAAAGTTAAATCACAATTCTTGTTGTGCAATGCTAATTTTATTTATGTTGAAAGAGTGCAAATATATACATATTTTTTTAATATATATTGCACTTATACATTCTGTTTATCTTGAAAATACTTAAATAATATGTGCTATAGGTTCTAAAATGGCCCTCTACTGTAAACTGACACTCTGGCTCTGAGAGAAAAGCCAGTTTGTAAAAAAAAGTCTTGGTTTTGCTTGGTTAATAAATAATCAAACTCATTCAATGGCACAGCATCCTCTTTCACATAATCTCATTAACTTGATCTAATTAGTTAGTGCTGAAATATCGCATCGTATCGTGATATGGGTGTGAATCGTATCGTGTTGCATCGCAATATGTCACAAATGTATCGCTAATATATCGGATCGTATTCTTTGTATCGAGATGCGTATCGGATCGGCATTATAGCTTAGATGCCCAACCCTAGTGTGTTGCTATAGTGTATAGACCGTCATACTGGGGTGATATGAACACACCCAGTCCTTTTTTTTCAATTTAACTACAAAAATAAGGGTCGGCCAATTGGAGCTGTTTTCAAATCGATCGCACCATTACGTAGGAGTGCGATCCCCCCGCCCACCGAATTGATTGACAGCTGCGCGCATTAACATGTTCCGGTAATTACGTGTATATGTCAACAAGACCAGGCAGACATACGCAAAGCAACCGGGAATAAAAGGTCTGTTCTGTTCGCTAGGATCAGCAATCATCATCAAATGTGATTAAGAGTAAGTTTCACATGTTTAAAGTGTTTTAAAACAGAGTATGTGTGTAATTCATTACAGCGTTTTACTTCAGCTTCATCAGCACAGCCGCGTGTCAGAACAATTATAAAAAAGACGCTTCAATCCCGGTTTGTGGAAGTTAAATCAGGTTTATTTTGTACATTAGCATCACAGATATCCACACAGTACTTGAGGTTCGCCTTAACTAAGCTAAGCGCGCTCTGTCTGTCTGCCTGCCTGTGTGTGTGTGTGTGTGTGTGTGTGTGCGCGGGCGCGTGCGTTAACTTTGTAACGATATTGTGTGTGACTCATCAATGCAACTTCACAATACTGATTAGTAAAGGTTAGTTCTTACTGTAGTATCTCACAAACGCTACGTGAGACCTTCTTCCTTTAAGTCTGTCTGTTGTCTGACGCAGCTGAGGGAGGAGGCATGTAGAAACAGTAGGCGGGAAAGACTCGTCTTAAAGGCGCAGTACGACAAAACCACCCCCTGCTGGAAATCAGTATAAAACAGCATCTCGTAAAAGGTTTAATGAAAAATCTGATGGGTATTTTGATCTGAAACTTTATATACACATTCTAGAGACGCAAAAGACTTAATCTTAACCTAAATCTGACTTAACCTAAATCTGAAAAAAGGGGTAACCTAGGTGCCCTTTAACATATAGATTTTCTTAACACATTTCTAATCATAATAGTTTTAATAACTCATTTCTAATAACTGATTTATTTTATCTTTGCCATGATGACAGTAAATAATATTAGACTAGATATTCTTCAAGACACTTCTATACAGCTTAAAGTGACATTTAAAGGCTTAACTAGGTTAATTAGGCAGGTTAGGGTAATTAGGCAAGTTATTGTATCGTGATCGGAAAAAAATAGCTTAAAGGGGCTAATAATTTTGTCCTTAAAATGGTGTTTAAAAAATTAAAAACTGCTTTTATTATAGTCGAAATAAAACAAATAAGACTTTTTCCAGAAGAAAAAATATTATCAGACATACTGTGAAAATTTCCTTGCTCTGTTGAAAACAGAAACTCAAATAGTGCACTGTTTAAAGGTCTAGGGGACTATTTTAGATTCAGCCTAGATGTATTGTGAGAGCTTTGAACATGTTAGATCAGTGGTTCTCAAACGTTTTTCATCAAGTACCACCTCAGAAAAAAATTGTCTCTCCAAGTACCACCAAAATGAGCAGTATTGAAATACAATAGCGTAGTAGGCCCAGTAAAGCAGCTACAACTCTGCAGTTAAAAAACATGGCAGATTACATTAGAAATATAGCCTATATGTCATATATGACATATTATATACATCATTTTTTTCAATTTTGAAATGTGTATGGCATGTACATGACATATTTCATTCCTCCGCGTACCACTAGAAGGAAGGCTGCGTACCACTAGTGGTACAGGTACCACAGTTTGAGAACCACTGTGTTAGATAATCATCACAAATTGAATTCATGCTTCATAAGTCTCATTCCTGCCGTGTGATTTCTTCTAGAGTTCATCGAGTCCCCAGACAAGCTGTCTGAATCCGAAGAGGAGTTTGAGATCCTAAACGCGTGATGAAGAGGTTTCTTTAGCAAAAACACAAACGGTAGCAACACGACAAACAAACGCTGTTCTTCTATCTGTGGAAAAAAAAAAACAAGCCAAGGATCCTGTAGCAACTTTTGCGTGACGTTTAGCCTCATTCCGGGGTCATTTAAAAGACTTGTGTTTTTAATTATGGAAACCGACCGAACTTCTTGAGTTGCATGAACTTTATTGTACTGTATCATGGAGTGGCGAAGGATTTATGAAGACGAAATCTGTACAGCCTCGACACACTCTACCTCCTGACCGCAGGAGACCGCCGCTAATATGCACATAATATCAGCTTTTGTCTCTTTTCTAGTCCAAATATATAAAAAGTTCTTACTCGAACACTCATTTAATTATGAAGTTATGCATTCCTTTCCAAGGGACATACATATTTCAACAAAACAATGCGTTCTGCACACATTACAATGCCGACTGCAGAGAAAAAAAAGATATAGGTAATTGACTGGCCTGCCTGCAGTCCTGACCTGTCTCCAACAGTCCAGATAGCTAGTCCAAATATATAAATGTTTCTTAATCGAACACACAGAAAAGGATTTTTGCTGCTTCAAACTACTTCTTTAAAATGAGCTGAATCAACACATTTCTTAAGAGTTTTTTTTAGACATCTTAAATGTTTTATGTTTAATCTTTTTTGCAAATTTAAATTAACGCCCATGCATATTTCATCAAGACTAATCCACATTCTGCACACATTACAGAGTCCTGGCTCAGAGGAAGAGCATACAGGTACTTGACTGGCCTGCCTGCAGTCCTGACCTGTGTCCAATAGAGAATGTGTGGTGCATTTTGAAGCGCTTTGTACAGTGATAAAGCCTTTCCTGGATGAGTAAAGTATGTTTATTTGATTTCAGACATACTAAATCAAAATTTTGTCAGTTTTTTCTTAAAACAAGCTAAATAATCTGCCAATTGGGTAAGAAAATAATCTAATTTTAAAGCAAAAACAAGACTATTTGCCTTATTTCATTAGTAAAACTTTATTTTTGGCATATTATTTCTGTAAACACACCTATATTTTTTACATTTCTAGAAATTGCTCTATGATCGAGTTGTCGTGCTCCTAACCTTTAACCACCACCCGTTCCACAATGCAGCCCCTTATGGCTCCCCCCTGCCGGTGGTTGGCCTGCAGGAAGATGGTCCCACGTCGCTCCTTCGGGCTAAGCCCGGCCTGGTTCTATGGGATTAAACCTGGCCACCAGGCCCTCGCATACAAGCCCCAACCCCAAACCTGTCTCCAGGGTGAGGCCCATACCTGCCAACATTCGGATCATAAAATCCGGGAGATTTTACCCGGGGGTGCGTGCGAAGTGAAGAGCGGGTGGGGTGTGCTCGCGAACCAAAGAGCGAGGAGTGCGTATGAAGGTCATTGCGTGTTGGGTTCAGTGCGCATTGGGACTGCACCAAGAAGCTGAGGATAGCGAAAGTTTTTCAGGTGACAGAACAATACGGGAAATGGGCGGGAGATGGGTCTGAAGGATGAAACGTGAGATTGACACGCAGATTGGTGCAGCGGCAGCAGTAATGCGGTCAATGCATCGTTCTGAAGGAGCTGAGCCGAAAGTCGACACTCCCGATTTACCGGTCAATCTATGTTCCTACTCTCACAAGCAGCCGAAATGAGTTTCCTTTGCAGGGTGGCAGGGTGCACCCTTATAGATAGAGTGAGGAGCTCTGTCACCCAGGAGGAGTTCGGAGTAGAGCCGCTGCTCCTCCACATCAAGAGAAGTCAGCTGAGGTGGCTCAGGCACACAGGAATTTTAAATATTTGGACAAAAAATGAGACAAAAACTTTTTTAAAAAGCATTTTTTGCTCTGCAGACCGCTTTTATTCAGTGTTAATCGAACACACACACACACACACACACACACACACACACACACACACACACACACACACACACACACACATACACACACAACCATACTGGTTAAAGAAAGTGCCTCTTTTTCACATATTTATGTTTCTGACTGATCAAGATGATGTTTCCTCTTCTTAATAATGGGTTATTTATTCGACCCAGCCCTGCACATCTGTAAATAAGTTTTCAGATTAAGATATTTAAGTGTTTAGCGCATTTTGGATTGGTCCTATCACTTTTCTTGTTTTTTTTTTAAGAAATAAACCATAAAGCTATCTAATTATGAGCTCCTATTTATCATTGGTGAATATAGTCAATTTCTACTGTGGGGGACATAAGTAACACTATTTTTCTCAGAAAACATATCTCTGAAGGTGCCGTTGACTTGAAATGTTCACTGGATGTTGATAACAACTGAAGAAATCCATCTATGCAAAGAAAACAAATCTGACTAGTTTGCAAATGAAGCTATGTGTAATAAAATGAAATGACAAAGGGGAAAAGTATGAAGAAAGGGAGATGTAGTTCGGCAGTGAAAGCCCAGACAGCAGCTGAAATCTCTCAGTAGTTCTTCAGCATCGCTCTGCCCTTCCTCAGTGTAAATGAACATCAGCTGCTTCAGTCCAACATCTACATTAGCAGGAGGATGAAGATGAAACCAGAGTGGACATTTCAGCAAGACAATGATCCAAAACACTGCAAAGGAGAATCTCAGATGCTTTCAAAGAGAATCAAGATGTAGAATGGCCCAGCCAATCACCTGCTCCGAATCCAATAGAGAATACAAAATAAAGATCAGATTTGACAGACGAGACCCACAGAACCATCAAGATTTTGACACCATGTTGAAGTCTGAGAAACTCACACCTGAGCAATGCATGCGACTTCGTTCTTTAATTAGAGGGGTCTTTAAGCTTCCATCGCCGAACAAGTCTTATATATAAAGTATTAAATAAGTTTCCGTAGTTCAGCGCTTTCTCCTTCCGTCATTTCATTATTATTACACAAAACAAATGTTTCAGATTCTTTTGTTTTATGTTTGTATTGTTTGGGTTTTTATCAAAATCTGCTTCAATCCCATGTCAACAGCCCCTTTAGAGATATTATTCCCAAGAAAACACTTGACGTGTTCAATACTTATTTCTCTTAGTACCTTTATAATAAATGACAAAACCGAAGACAGTGGTCGATGTGTACTCATGCGTTTTGTCATTTCAATTTATGTCACTTTTTCTTAAGGAATATTGTGAGGTTTGTTTTTATGACAGTATACAAACATGTTAGACTTATACCAAAGACTTTATATTGACAATTGAAGGTTTTAGAAATTTAAATTTAGGATTTTATAATGAGGTCTTTAGGATCGTGTGATATTGAAACCTTGATATATGTATACATATATATACATATATATATATATATATATATATATTTATATATATATATATATATATATATATATATATATATATACACACACACAAAGAAGACGAGGTTGTTATGAACTGTAATAATGTTTCAATGTAGTTTTGTTTGAATAAATGCAACTTTTGTGCAGAAAGAGATTTCTTTCAAAAACACACAGAGAAAATCTTTTCGTGGTTAGCACTGTCTCCTCACAGCAAGAAGGACACTGGTTCGAGTCCCAGTTGGCATTTCTGTGTGGAGTTTGCACGTAGGCGAGGGTTTCCTCCGGGTGCTCCGGTTTCCCTTACAGTCCAAACTCTTGCGCTATTGGTGGAATTGGGTTAACTAAATTATCTGTAGTGTTTGAGTGTGTGTGTGTGTAAACGTATGTTTCCCAATATTAGGTTGCAGCTGGAAGGGCACCCGCAGCGTAAAACTAATGCTGGAATAGTTGGCGGTTCATTCCGCTGTGGCGACCCCTGATAAATAAGAGACTAAGCTAAAGGAAAATGAATGAATACAAACATGTTTGGCTTGTTTTAAAAGAAATAATAACTAGAACCTAAAGTTCATTGATAAACTTTGATGTTGGCAATGCTCGTGTTCATGTTTGATCAAATGCCAATACTTTGTAGGCATTTCTAGCATATGTTATTGCATTTAGATAATCATTCATAGCATGTAGCGAATCGTTATTAGCACTTGGCTTCCATTATCATTGTTACCATGCATAGTACACAGGAAGTCCCATTTGCTAGCATGAGTCAAACAAGCCAATGCCCTGGTCCCTACGATGTTCTGATGTAGAGGTATTGCTATTTTTAAATGGTTGCTAGGTTATACTGTTTTATTGCTATGGGGACAATGACAGGTTAGTGATGATACATCAAAGCTTCTTGGCAATATGAGGGATCTTAATCAACCCCGATGTTTCTATGACAGTCTTTATGAGTGTCAAAAACTGGACTTGAACATTATGTATTCCTGGTGTTGGGTTGCGGCTGGAAGGGCATTAGCTGTGTAAAACAAATGTTGGATAAGTTGGCGGTTCATTCCGTTGTGGCGACCCCTGATTAATAAAGGGACTAAGGGAATGAACATTATGTAAAAATGGCTTGCTGTATTTCATTATGTTGGCTTGAGAAAGCCAACATACTGTTATACTACTCTGTCCTTGAAAACAAACATATCTCCTCCTAGGCCGTTCATGCCACAAGGCCCAAATGTGGTCAAAATGTGCTTTCTGCATTCAAGATTGTTGCTATATCTCCTCATGCCAGTAAGACTTATTGTTTTTTTAATAAAAAATGTTAAATATTAAATTTTTATAATCCGGGCATATAAAAAAATTATACAAGCCCCAAATTTGGCCAAAATCTGTATTAAGATGCGTTAGATTTTGCTGCTATATCTTTAAGGTTTATCAGACTTATAGTTTTTCAATAAATAATTTTTAAGCATTATTTTTCTTAAAATATGGCAAGCCATTTTTGACTTAAACTCCATATTTTTACTGATATGGCAAGCCAGATTTGCATTTATCAGTTTCACACTTATTAAGCATTGTATTTTCAAAAAAATACGGCAAGCCATTTTTACATAATGTTCATTCCCTTAGTCCCTTTTTTAATCAGGGGTCGCCACAACGGAATGAAACGCCAGCTATGCATGTACTATGCATGGTAACAATGATAATGGAAGCCAAGTGCCAATAACGATTAGCTACATGCTATGAATGATTATCTAAATGCAATAACATATGCTAGAAATGCCT